ATCGGGGACCCCTTTTTGTTTTGGCGTTGACAGGTGAGCGGAAACCAAAATGACACCTGGATTTGGTGCCCAATTTTTCAAAAAAAACACAAACATTTGAGCAAAGGGCCAAGACCCAAGATGTTCCTAAAGCAAACCCAGTTGATATTTACCTTTCGGACACATGGGCTTGGGTTTGGTCTACTTTGCCCGCCCATCCCTCTCCCCTCCTGCCTGAGACGGGAGTCCGTTCTGCTGTTTTCGGTCGCGAAAAGGAGCTTTGGGTCTCTCAGTGAAGGCTCTGCAAGGAATTGGTCCTTGAAGCTGTGGTATGCTGGGAAAAGCTGGACATCTGAGTGACTGTGGGTGCTGTCAATGTCACCCGGTTGACTGTGTCAGAAGTGTCTCAAAGCCATCTACCTGCCGCAGGTAAACAAACACGTGATGGGAGTTCGGCTGTATCAAATTACTCTGTTGGAGTATTCGCGTCACTTTCAGTCGCTTGTGAGATGCAACAAATCTCTCTGGGCTTTAGCAACTCGCCTTGCAGGAGACAACCTGCCTCAGTTACTTCCCGTGAGCCAGGACAAGGACGGTCCGCGGAATCTCGAACCATCCAAGTGCCAAGGGGCCCAAGAAGATACTACCAGTCAGGTTTCATGAGGGTACAAGAATCAAACCTGAGCGATTTCCCCAAACCTGATCTCCATCGCTATCCCTCCGACTGACCTAGTTGCACTCGCTTGATCCATTGAAACAAATGAAATGACGCGTAGCACACATGTCGAGCAGCCTAGCATGTCGGGGGTTAACTCTTCACACGTTAATTCGGCCTGCCAGTCATGTACCTCAAACTCGCTCTTTCAACACCAACGCTCAGAAGAAGAAGAAGGAAAAACAAATCGCATGCGACAAGCACGTGCCTCGACATGAAGGGCTGACTGGCTGACTGGCTGACTTTCAAGGAGCCCAGAAACAAGCCATCCGGAAGGCACCCGCCCACCCGCCGCACTTCCGGTGACGTTCTCGCCCAACATGTCTCATGGTCAAAGCTCAACAAAAGAACTGGTGAGATGAGCTGCCAACCACGCTTTATGGAATCCCCAAGTGGGGGTGGTCCAAGGAGCACAGGGGGGCTATCGAACCCTAAACCCTAAGACTCTCAACTGCCCACCACCCTTGACCTACCCACCCTCACTTCGGGATTCCATAAACACTGGATAAGCAAAGCCAGCGATGAAACAAAGAAGCAAGGACCGCACCGACATTCCAACAGCCATGCAGGCAGACTAACAATAAAACTCTGCCTCTCTTTCTCAACCACTTGAAGAAGACCGTGACTATCCACTTTATCATCATTCACACATCTGCCTGACAGGACAAGCGGCCAAAATTATGCACAGGGGTGCGCAAATTGAGTATCCGAGAATGCACGCATGCAAGCACAAGCCCACGTGCATAAGAGCACACACACACACACACACGCACTCAAACAGAACACCATGAACCATGTATGTAGCAGTACGCACACACGCACAAACAAAGCTCGCAATCATGCGTATTTCACACAGGCAAATATTCTCAACAGTTGCCCTTGTAGGTGCCCCACTTGTCAAGGACTCTGTTTGGGATGGCACTGCTCAGACATGTGGACAACTGCCGACAACACATATACATTATCTGGGACTCAAGGACGACGAATACGTGTGTCCTTGCCGGATGATCCCTTGTGCGTTTTCGTGACGCCAGAAACAAATATTCTTACTGGTGCTCAGCAGGGAATGAGGGAATGACCTTTATAAACCATCCCCTATGGTTTCCTTTCAGGGACTCCCCAGCTTCAGTCCCTCATTCCCTGCTGAGCAGCACGTTTGCCAACCACTATCGCCAAGTGGCCGGGGCCGGCTTTTAGGGGACTCTGGTTGCAGGGTCATGCGATTGGCCAATAAAAAAATCGAAAAGCTTTGCGTTTACGAGTTACCGCCAGAATGGGTCTCCCAACAAGCATGATATCCAGGAGCTCTGGGCGTGATGGTGGCCTGTTCCGATTGGGGGGGGGGGGGGGCTGGACGGAGAAGCATCCTGGCACCAGGGCGGGCAGCCTCAAAGATCATGTCGAAGCTTTTAGTAGGGGAAGCCTCCCCCCAAAAAAGGGTAAAAGGGCACTACTGGGGGACCTAGTTTTTATTTTGCCACTAAAATGGTCTTCCCAAAAAGCATAAAGAGTCCTGGAACTCTTGAACGGAGGATTCTTGTATGAGGTGCGTCTCAAAATTTTGGCCACACCCTCTCAGGAGTCGATTTAATGGTGATTTCGGCTCCAAGCTAACCAACCACAAATGACTGTCCAAAAAAGGGGAGCCCCTATTTGGGTGTGTATGTTTTTTCGGCGAGCCTCTCCAAACTGGTTGTCGTCCTTTGTCGTCCTTTCGGTTTCCCGTTAAACCAACCAAACAAAAGAAGCACCCACACACATTCGGTTGCAAACCACCCCGCAGACACCCATCCCAATTTCGGTAGGATCGATCCGTCGGCCGCGCCTGGCGGCACCTGCCGTCCGGATGCTTTTTGTTTTGGAGCAAAAGACCTTTGCCTCCTGGACATGAAGGCAGCTGGGAAGGAGCCTGGGTGCTCCGGATTCGAGAGGTTAGAACAAGGGTTTCCTGTTTGTTTTTCTGTAGTCGATTTTAGTAGGGGAACCCTCCCAACGAAAAAAGAAACGGTAAAAGGGCACCACTGGGGACCTAGGAGCAAAACCAACTCGCCCTGAAGGAAGCTGGAGGCAAAACCATCTTCTCCTTGCTCAAACCTCCGGACGGTGCGGTCCCAAAAGGCTCCAGAGGTCATGGGGAAACACCCAAGAAGGGGCTTGGCAAAGGCCAAGACTCGTGACAGGAAATGGGGGGCGCGTCACGTCCTTTTTTGGGGGTTCCCCAAGTGAAACAAACACCAACACCGAAGCCTCTTTCTTTTTTCTTGGGTTGGTGGGGGGGCCTCGAAAAAGACACTCAAGAGTCAAACCAACATCAAGACCATTGCGGAGAAAACAGCCCCTTTCGGGTGCTGACTTCAATAGGGGCTCGTGAGAACCGGGCCCTGAGCTGTCAGGTGTGGTGGCCATGAATATCAAGAGCTGGAACCTCTAACGTGGCTAGTAGGCATGAATCCCCACCTACATGATGTCCACCAAAGAGCCCTATTCAAAATGTTCATGCCCATTTGTTTCCACTGCAGGGCTCAACGTGATAGGTGCCTCTGATGTACATAACCCGATATCATAGCTATGTGCTACAAAAGCAAACCACTTGAGAAAGTGAAGCTCTCTGAGGCGGCCGGTGGAACATGGCCCGTATGAGAAAGTGGACCTTGACGATCTTACGCTGCAAGAGCACTCACTTGGAATTCTCACTACCGATCGAGTAGATTGACTAAAATTATTGGTTGATGTTGGAAGGGGTTCAAAGACTTAAATTTTAGCAGTTAAGTGGAGATTTCCCCTCTAAACCACAATAAGCAAATAAGTTTAAAAGGTGTCCCAACAACAACCATCAAAACGAGTGCGAACTCCTATTATTTACCGCTACATGATCTTAAACAAGTCTGAAGTCCAGGAGCTCAGGGAGTATCACTAGACAAATGAGCCACAATCAACAACCAAATAGATCAAAGGTTAGTAAGGGACAGTCCCAACCATACATGGGTGCAGCCCCCTTGTTCATTCCTTACATGGTTCTGGGTAGACCATTTTGAGATCAGGTTTTAATTGTGACTCTGCCGAGAAACGTGCGACCGCAGGAGTCGTCTGGAAACAAGGAAGAACGCCCACCCTTTTTCACGCGAAACAGAGGAAAACCCAACCTGACTTTCAGTCCACCCGGCTGAGATCCCACATTCCACTCGCGCTCGCAGCGAGCGACACCGAGCGCGAGAGCCTCAATTTCATGTCTTCGCTGGCAACCGTCGCCGATGTCTGTGGCTGCAGTGCAGATCCATCGGAGTGAATTCAAATCATTCTTGTGCCAACCCCCCCCCCCTCTCCCCCCCACCGCGAACATGGCATGGCCATTTGGAGGTCACCAAAAGCTTCGGAAGCACATTCTGAGGATAAAAACCGCAACCTGAAAAACCACACCTTGAGGACTCGCTCGCAAATTTTCTGACGAGCTTGGCATGTTTGCTTTCTTGCTCAGATGTGTGGTAAAAAACAAACAAATCTCGACTTGCTCCGGACGTGGAAAACTATGGCTGGGGAAAATGACCTCTATCTGTGACCATCTCCACAACTTGTTAAGGTTTAAAAAAAAAAACAACTGGCCCGAGCCAGTTTTCCACCGTCGAGCGTTTTGACCGGACAATTCCTTTTTGGCGGATCGCGGATCCACGCATGTCCTCACCCAACCAGTCGACTATGAAGAACATCCTCACAGAATTGGGTTGTACCGGTGTACGGGCCAAGCTATTGAATATCATGTTTGAACCACTATCTAAAAACAAAGCCTTGTTCCTTCGTCCACATCTGGAGTACACAGAAACAAGATGTTCAAATCGTGGTTCAATCTGTTTCATATTTAGCCTACCAAAACATATGAATCAGCTTACTTTTTAGGGGACGCAACTGGCTTCCTTAATCTAGGTCCTCCAGTAAAGAGGTTAGACTAAGGGTACCCTTTGTTCTGTAGTCGATTTTTTTTTTGGGGACTACTGGGGGACCTAGTAATGTTTCAACCATCTGAACACCACCTTGGATCAGCCGTTTGGGGAACCGCAACTGCCGGAGGGCAATCAACCAGCAGAACCTGCACCACTGTCGAAGCTGGCTTCAGCAGTCCGATCTCTCAGCTGCATACGATTCCTATTTGACAAGTGGCAGGGAACCAGAAAGGATGGCTGAAGAGTCCCTTCACTGCTTGACAAGAAGTCGAACAACTTTAAGACCCACACAAAAGAAGAATCTATAAAGGTCTCCCTAATAAACAAAACAGTTGTTTCGGAAGTCCCAAATCCGGGAGTACTTTTAGAACCTATTGGGGGGACCCGGGACTACGTTTCCTTTACTACGGCCGCCCTACAAAGTTGCGACTTTCGAGCCGGAGCTCCGGGCTCACTCCTTCTTCGACTTTGCTTCCTGAGGCCCATCAGTTTGGATCGATGCGGTTCCGGCGGAGCTTGCCAGAGGGACCTTCCAAAGCTGCCGTTTTGCCAATTGGCCCATTTTTCCGGACGAAATTCCTGTAGCTGGTGTCTATGACTCGAATTGGGGGGTTGGAGCTGGTGTCTATAACTCGAATTTGGGGGGTTTGGATTGGTGAGGCTAGAGGGTGCTCTCTCACGGGGTCCCCAAGCCAGCAGTTCCCAACCAATGCGCAAACAAAGCAACAAACAGTAAACTACTCGCACCACGAAACCCACCCTAAAGGGGCTCCCCAAAGCAGCTCCCTCAAAATATATATCAAAAGCGTTGTTGCACCTCGGTAAGGTGAGGTCTTGGGGTTGACCACGTGGGGACGCCACCAATCCAAAAGCAACCCCCCCATTTGGTAAAAAAAAGTCCTCTGGACCAAAAAAAACGCATTCCAGTGACAGACTCTCTTTCAAGTTAACGGGAAGCAAACTATTGTCTTAAGCAGATGGAAGGAAAACAGCACCGTAGCTGAATGAAAGGGACAGCACGAGGGCTGGCATGGAGAAAAGCAGTTGGGCTGGCGAGGGTTCCAAGTAATGCTGACTCCGGTTGTATCAAACTTGGCGATGAACCCCCCCGCAAGTGGTCAAGCAAAGCCCCATCAAAGCCAGGGGCCTCATGTTCATGAATTCAGGCTTGTTCATCCCGGGTTATAAGCATGGAAACTCGCCGGACATCAACTTGAAGTGTGATGATGGAGGTGGAACGCACAAGGGCTAGGCATGCGAATCCCGGGTCCGTCCTCAAAGTTGGGGACATTCACCCATTTCCAGGGCACCAGAAACCATCTCCGGGCGCCAGTTGCGATGGAAAGCACCCCACCTTAAGTGCTGTGTGTCCATCCACATGTCTACCGAAAATGGTTTCGGATTTGGTCGATTTCCTCTTGGTGGTTCCTTTAAAACCAACAAACAAGAGGTTCGCCTGAAAAGAGAGACACGCCTTGGTGTTTGAACCGCGACGGGGCATTCTCCTTCAACCGCTTGAGGACCTTCCGCCGCTGCCCAAGCATCGTGCCTCGAACGCCGTAAGTCTGGGAAATACATCCCCAGAAGAAAAGTTGGACGTACTATGGGTGTGGCTTTTCGTTGTCGACCCCGTGGTGGCAGCGTTGATGTCCACCTCCCCTTTTGAGGTGCTTCCCTATGAGAAGGGGATCAGAAGGAAACCATCCCATGTTGAATGATTTTGAGACCCCCCCCCGCCCTCCAATTCGAATGGAGTTGGGTACTATCAAACCAGAGTTTACCTCACAATATGTTTGAACAACATGGTGGTATTGTAGTTATTCAAGCCTCATCGTGTATTGGGGAAAGCTTAAAGAAACACCCCAACCCTCCACCACACAAAGGGAAGCGTCTGATATCAGGGTACCCCCTTGGTGGACAAACAACCCCTGCTGCGAGGGGATCACACTTGGAAACTCGATTCATAGATATTCATAGGGGGGCGTTAGCAAATGATTTCTAGGGGTTGATTCCCCATTCTTCTCAACCATCGTTCTTTTCGCTGGATTTTTGATGGTTTCCTGAAAAGAAGGATCCCTGGAAAGAATGGGGAAGGTACCCCTAGAACCATAGGTAGCATTTAATGCTCAGCACTGATAGAACTAGCACCCCCTAGTCGAACGGAGCTGACATCCCGACCAGCCCACATGTACAAAAGGAAAGCTCAACCATCCCCAGCGCTGGCTCACCCAGTGCCAAAGTGATTGATCGGGATCAGATCCCCCGAAACGACGGAAGCGAAGATCCGGAGATCGAACAAAAGAACATAGCTTGACGTCCTCCATTTGCCAAATCCCCCGGGAAAAAACCCATCCAATAGCGATAGTTTTCCTTTAAACACAGCAGGGGAACATACAAACCCTTCAGCAAATGGAAGGTGATGATCATGCTTTGGGAATGGTTCATGATGGACATATGCGACATTTCGCAAGGACCTTCTGGGCGAACATTTTTCCGGGAAGCCTCGACCCAACCAGGCAGCTCGCTCATTGGCCAGAGGGCGAGCCAGAAAAAAAAAGAGATCGGGCTTAAAATGGACCCAGAAACATCGAAACGGCGGACATATCCGCAGCCATGGTTGGGACTCTCCCTAAGTAGCCATACCAAGCTTCAGCTCCTGTTTCTTACTTGCCCAGAGGACCTGGAAATAGAAGGTTCACCTTTTGGGACCTCAACTAAAAATGGACCAAAAAGGGAAAACCCAAAGGTCAGATCCGGTCGATTCGCTTTGAACAACTGAGGTTTTGATTGGTGGCTTTCCGCGGTTTTTGGTTTTCTGTGCCCTCCAAACCTAGGTCCTCCGGAGGGGCTAGAATAAGTTGGTACCCGTTTTTTCAGTTTTCCTTTTCGGTAGGTTATTTAGTAGGGGAACCGAATCTCCCCCAAAAAAGAAACGGTAAAAGGGCAGCTGGGGGGCCTGGAAACAGACAGGGAGCCCCGAAAAGTTCACCGCAACGCCACCGGCAGGTTCGAACATCACGGCAGCTCGTCAGCTCGCGACTTCGGCCAGGCACCAAAGAGCATTGGGAAGCACAGCACATAGACCAACAGGAGGCCTGCACGCGCGCGAAGCCCGAACCGAGCATGCGGTCGCTTGCTTTGTACGTTGGCTAGAATCCACTACTCTTGTAAGCCCCAAACAAGCGGTGACCAGGGTGACTAGCTGCAAAACACGAGGAACCTGCACCAATCAACTAGAGACCTTCGAATTGTCTTCTCGAATCTTACTGGCGAGAAGTGATTGAAGAAGCCTGGTTCTTGTTGTATCTTTGAACCTGATCCCCACACAACGGAACCTGGAGTCCCAGAACGCCTTCTTAGAAGGTTTCCTGCAAACGTCTTTTTCACTGTTGTTACCTCTAGTGGATTTACAGGGAAACCAAAAGGGAACTCACCATTTTGGGGGTCCCCTCAAAACGAACCCCCTCCCCTCAAAACGAGCCCCTCCCCTCAAAACGAACCCCGCCCCCCCCTGACCGAAAGGGGTCCCACCAAACAATGATATTGGTTGTTCCATTGAAACAGGGCATCTTGCATGAAGACAACCCTTAGAAGTGTCCACCAGGTCTTGACCATTTGCATTGGCACTTCACCTCTGGATCCTGAATCTATCAAACAAATCCTTCCGCCAGAAACTCATGCGTTTCCATGCCTTTAAGATCTTGGATGGTAGAACCTCGTGATCGCACGTCAAGCCGTCCAACTGGGCCATTGCTACGACTTGTCGCTGAACCCAAGCGGAGCCTGCCCCTCCCCCCCTCCTGCCTGCAAAGCCCAATCTCTGCGTTGCTGCCGGGACGATGGCGCAGGCGTGCAGTAGCCCACACCCTTCGGCAGCCTCCGAGTTGGGAACATCAACCCTCTGTTGGAGGGCTCAACCCATGGTCCCTCGGACGTACCCCTGCCATACACTCCCCGTAAACTAGGGTATCTACTCATATATGGGGTATAAAGCGGGTACATAAGGCCACATATCAGAACCAGCTACTCCAATCCACACGTGGGTGAGCCCTTGGACCCTGATTGAAGACTTTTAAACACCTACATGGGTTCCTGAAAATCGGGGGCCCAAACAATGAGTGGTTTCCTTTGGGGTTCCCGCTAAAAACCAGCCCAGAAAGGGTACCCTCAAATCGAGAAGCAACCGCCCAGTTCCCTCCCAAAGCCAGGGTGTTTAAACAAAATGTGCCCAACCTTGCAAACATTTTGAAAGTTGGCAATGGCCCCTTTTCTACATCCCTTACATTCCCAGGGCCACAAGTCTCTCTCACTCTAATGGGCTGCCCTCAAATCCCTAAAAGTAAACTTGTGGGTTAAATGGACACTACCACTAAACCCTAAAGAGCCTAAGAAGCTAAGGGGATGGCTGGGAGCCACCAAGTCTACTCTTGGACGGCGTTCAACTTTGCGCACTTCCCGATGCGATCGATTTAGACCAGACTCTCCCACTGACGGTGCAAATGGGCGTGCCTGTTTTTGAGGGTACGCCCTTTTGGATGGGTTGAAAGGGAAAAAGGAACAACATCTTTTCGGGGTCCCCTACAAAAAGGATACACCCAAAAAGAGATGGATCAAAAACCTCTTTGAATGAGGCGGTCATTCCCTGAACAGGAACTCCTTTGATTTCGCCCAACAAAAACCGCTCTTTCGGAATCCTTCAGGCCGCTGTCAGGAATCTGAGATCAAATCTTGCTAAGTGTAGAAAGCTAGAATCGGCAATACTAGATCAAGTCTATTTAAGAGGCAAGTCCCAGTCCAACCACGATCCCCTTTTTTGACGAAAAATGGGCCCCGAATGCCTGTTACGTCAAAGCAGACCCAAGGGGAAATAAAGGACACCCAAAAGAGCAGAAGGGAAGAAAGGTGAGCCCCCCGCCCTTCCAACATGAAACCTGAGGCGGCGGGGTGCAAAGACCACGTTCCTGTCAACGGGCCCAAATATTTGCGTCGCTGTCAGCAGGCTTCGTGCGGCCTTCGACTTGGTCGAAAAAACGCAAAAAAAATAACTTCCTGTCTGGTTTCGATAGGCCGGGAATGGTTCATTCCCACCCACCCCACAAAAACCGGTTCAGTCCATTCCTAGGTCCTCCAGTGAAGAGCTTAGAATAAGGGTACCCTTTTTGCGGTAGTCTATTTTAGTAGGGGAACCCTCCCAACCCAAAAACAAGTTGGTAAAAGGGCACCTAGCTGGGGGACCTAGATTCCCTGTCGCACCAGGCTGACCACATCTCGTGACACCGGCCTTTTGGGTGAGCTCCGGCATGGCGCTGTACACGGCGCCCAGCTCACCTCGTGGCACGGCCCGGCGCCCAGAGACTTTGCGCAGCACTTGAGTCCTTCTCGCCAAACATATGGGGGGGGGGGGGGGTTGTGTGGGGGAGGGGGGAGGGGAAAATGGGAGGGGGGGGAGGGAGGGGGGGGGGCGCCGGCGCCTTCGGATGGCAATAAGAATGGAAACCAGCAGGAAACCCACCACCTGGAAGTCTCGAACTTTTGAGACACACCCATCCAAGACAGTCGCGGGCACGTAGTCCAAGTCTGGGTACGCCAGGCATGAGATGTTCCAAGTTGCCGGAAGTGTGGAATACTACGAATGTTGGATGAGATGGCAGAAATCCGCCTGCTGAGAGTGAGCAAAGGAAACAAAAAGAGACAAAGAGGGAGAGAGGCACAGAGAGAGAGAGAGAGAGAGAGAGAGAGAGGGGAGAGCGAGAGAAAGAGAGAGAGAGATACGTCCATTAATGTTCTGTGGATTTGGTTAAAAGCTGCAGCTAAATGAAGTCATTCTGATGAACACCTGTAGCACAAACTCAGTTTGCAAGTCAGAAGTCCCGAAAACGGCCCGAATACAGTCATGCTGCACCCTCCCAAATGAATGGCTCTCTAGCTGAATGCTGAACCACGATAAATACACCCGCGATGAATGGGGGGGTGTCCAGAGAAGATTCTTCATTTTGGGGTCAAAGCACCCTAGTATTCTGAGAAGTCTATTGATCCGCGTCAATCTAATGTTGACGCCGGATTAAGCAGAACCTCTGGTGGTGTTTGATGGGGGGCCGTCCCTTTTTAGTGGGGGGTCATCCTCCTTCCTTCAACCCGAGAGGAGCTTCTTGCATCGCTCTCACGGAAACGCGATAGCTTGGGCCCTAAGAGTAATTGGGATGAACAGCCCCACCGCACGAAAGGCTTCAGATGAAAACAAATCCACGGCGATCGGCACCAAATGAGACTTATGAAACCCTTGACTTGGAATACTGGTTGACATATAAACCAGTTGCCAACAGGTGTCGATCGGCGTGGACTTTGTCCATCCACAGTAGTAACACCCGCACATATGAATCAACTAGATGATGTCCACCAATGGGTCCTATTTAAACAGGGGACTCTATACTCACTTGCCCAAAAGACCTAGAACGACCTAGAAATACAAGGTGAACACCTTTTGCTCCATGACTAAACAGGGGCCCATTCGTTAATTACCAGGTAGACTTAAACCAAGGAGGCTGGGAAATCAACCACCCCGGGGCTTAAGTCTACCTGGAGCAATCCAAAAAGTGGAACCCCGAATCAATATATACCTTCCCACCAATCAACATGAAACCTGACGTTTCGGGGTCCTCGTTTGGACACATTTCCCTGAATATGGACCCTGCGCTAGGTTCCACGCTAGTGGACAGGAGTCTTGGTTGCTGTCGACCCCTTCTGCCAAAATGTAGTGGGTCTACGAAAAATCCCGCCTGTGGTCAAGCAACAAGTTGTTCAGTCACTTTTTGGTAGGCTTCCTCCTCCACGGGCACCAGAAACCTGGCTGGACTGGGTCTTCTCCCGCTCATCATTCCAGCCCTTGGAGTGGCGAACCTGTGGTCTTGAGTCAAATTGGAGGCTGAAACAACTGCCTCTTGGCTGCCTCCACCTTCAGCTCGCCCTTGCGGCAGCTTTTCCCGGCAGCACTGCACCAAGTGCGCTGCTTCCGTTCACAAGGGCCGCCTGTAAAAGATGCCGAGCAGGCCTGCTGCTCCGAGCTTCTTATGTGCTAGGTGCCCAGTTGAGGATTGGCAAAGCACCTGAGCCTCGGATGTGAGCTGCTCGCGCTTGATGCTCTTGATCATCCGTTGCAAAATTGCCATTTGCTGAAGCCCACTGGAAAAAATGAGAAGATATGTCCAGTAGTGACATGGATTCCCTTGAAAACCAACAGTGAACAACTCAAATTAAGCAAACGGAAGCAAATCGCCATAAAGGAGTGAGTATCACTCCTTGTTTGGGATTGATACATCAACGCCATGACTAAAAAATGGGTCATCGGAAAACCACAAGGTCGATCCGCTTGCAACTGAGTACAGGGTTCCAACTATGAAATTATCAGGTAGACCAAAACCAAGGGTTGGGGAAATCAACCACCCCTGGGTTTAAGTCTACCTGGCATAAGCCGAAAAGTGAACCCTGAGTGAGTACAGCTGTCTGGTTCTCAGCAGGGAATGAGAAATGGAATAACCCCTATAAACCATTCCTAAAAAAAAAAACAACAACAACAACAACAACAACAACAACAAGAAACGGTCATTCCCTACCCATCGCACCAGCAAGTTGCTTGTGTCCTGTTGGTTTCCCTTTGAAACCACCAAAAAAGAAGCCCACCAGGTGGTTTGGATATGGGCGCATCCCTTTTGTGAGTTGGTACCCCCTTTCTTGTGCCTTTAAAGGAACGCCGGACGGCAAACCACAAGGAAAGCCCACGCTTTTTGCTGGCCATGGTTGGTTCGGACGATCCGAGTCCGAATCCGCAGCACGACTGGGTTCGGTCGAAGCGTCACCTCAAGGTTCCGAGGCCGCGCCTGCGACTCCCAGGGGGTACAGCGCCAGAAAGGTGCTGTACCGCAGCCAGGTCAAAGGCGGCAGGTTCACCCCTGCGGTGTTCAGGGCGTAGTACCTGGGTGCGGACCCGGCATGGGACAAGACCCGGCCAAGGTACTCAGGATTTGATTTCTAGGGCAACCAACAACAACTTGCGATCGGTGCGAGAGATGCGGGGAATGAGAAATGGAATGACCCCAAGAGAAACCATCCAGGTGGTGGTTTCCTTTGAGGGAATCCCTAGATTCATTCCCTCATTCCCTCCTCAGAAATGGACACCACATTTTGGGCACCCGAACTCACTTCCGATCCAGTCGAGTGGCCCAAAAAAGTAAACAAACTTTTGATTCGCCACTAAAATGGGCTTCCCGAAAAGTGACTAAAGTCCAGAACTCAGGAAGTGAGAAAAGGTGTACGACAACAAAGTGCGGTTTGCCCCAGCTGTTCTTTTTTGAGCCACACCCATGTTAGTTCTCAGTAAGCCCGGATAGAAGTACCCTCTTTCGTGGTTTGTAGGGAAACAATCCCAAAGCTCCTATTGGGTGTTTCTCAAAAATGGGAGTCCCTGAAATGGTTACCTTCGTCTTAGTTCAGTATGATTCGCTGCTAAGTGTACGGCAACGCGCTACACATGGTGCCCAAATTAGTGGGTCCCTTGCATCAAAACGTCTTTAAGTTGTTCCTCCACATGGGGGAAGCAAATAGGAACCCCCCGCAAAAGTACAAACTTGAGAACCCAAGAACATGTTCGCATCAAGTGACGCGAACCAGAGCTTGGCTTGCCAATGCAAGTGTCCACCAGTGCAACGTATGGTTGAACTTGGTCGCAAAAGCATGTCTGCGTGCTGGTAAGGACACATACTTACCTATGCAACAACAACAGGTTGAAAGGTTCAGGCAGCACACGCCAACCAAGGAATGATGATACTTCAACACCTAGACAAGGATCTTGAACAAAAAGTACTTTTCCCCCAGTCGGTGATGCCAGAGCTTGCCCAAATCAAGAAGACCCCTGAAGGAACACCATCGCTTCTTGCATTCTTGAGGGGGGTGGGGGACTTGGCAAGAGTCGGGATGGACGAGGTGTCCCTTGCTGTCCGCTTTGAAAAGACAAAATTGCCCCATCAAGACGCAATCCACTAAAAAAATATGAAACCTGAAAGAGGGTCCCTAGAGGAAAGGGTCGCTTTCATGTTCCATGGTTGTTTCGCGGGTAATGGACATGTAGTGTCAAAAACAGGACCCTTTTTTCCCGATGCCCTGGCGACTTGTTCTTCCAAAAGGGGCACACAAATCGCCAAACACGGCGATGAGGGGTCGCATGGAAGTGCAGACTGAAGGTCGTGTTTGCAGATCAGATCAGAATCCCACGCTCTTGTTGTTTCCTGTCACTGCGTCCATTTGCCAACAGGTCTGTAATCAATTTTGCCTAGGTCCTCCAGTAGAGAGGTTAGAATAAGGGTACCCTTTTTTTCTGCAGTCTATTGCAGTAGGGGGACCCTCCCCCAAAATAGACTAAAGGGCACTACTGGGGGACCTAGTTGCCCCATACCCACATCAGAAACTAACAGAGGAACCTATACGGGGTAACCCCGAAACGAAAACCAGAACTGCTGATCTCGCTTTGACAAATGTGCTAACGGGACCTGGGATTGGTCCACGTTTTTGACTGAGAACCATCCATCAGCTTCTTCTCCCTTTCTCACCTAATCCTAGATACAAAGGCGAAAGGGAGGGGGTCATGAAAGGATGTGAGTGAACGGTTAGACCAAGAGCTGGGACACTAGCTGAAAAGGACTACCCTGTTGGCATAAGGACAAGATTGACAAGCGAGTTGCACTCCAAAACCTGCGAGTAATCAGCTTCCCTCTAATTGGTAACTTGGAGCCCGATTTGGTGATGTTCTGGGGTTGGGGGTTGATCAAAAGGTCCGTGATACACGGGATGTTGGGGGAAACCACTACAAATAATATGATAGGTGCCGCTAAATGGGAAAAGGTTACCCATGGTCATTGGGGAGTGGGGGTCAAATCCAAATGAAGACCAATTCAAATTTTCACCGAAGGGGCAGCCAAAATCAACTGATCTACCCAAAAACCATAGAGTCAAGAGGCCCAGCATCCACCTCTTGGCTGGGACTCAATCAAACTTTTCCCCAGGGCGGAGCGTCTTTTTTTGAGGTACCCCCAAAATGGATGTCCGTTGTCCTTTTGGTTTTCCTTCAAAAAACCACCAATAAGGGGGTACCCTCCAACAAAAAGCGAAGCCACCCATTTCAGCAATTTCAGTAGGGTGGTTCTACCAAAGAGAGGCTGCCCTTCCCTCAAAGAGCTTGCTGGTGCTCAGCAGGGAATGAGGGAATGACCCCTATAGACCATCCAACCTATGGGTTCCTTTAAGGGAATCCCCAGCAAGCAAAAGGGAAAACCGAGACATTGATTCTGGCGCGCCCAGCGGCAGGTACCGGATCACCTCCGTGATGCTCCAGGCCACCATGAACAGCGTCCTCTGTCAATTCGGGTTTCAAATGACGCTCGCGAGAGAAAAAGGAAGAAAGTTGTTGGGAACGTGACCCTGGAAAAATATAGAAAGGGACCCGTTGTATGTGTGTCACGTGTGTGTGTGTGTGTGGCTGTTGGGGAAAGTGACTCTGGAAAAAAAGGGGAACCCATATTGTGCGTGTGTGGGTGGGTGTGGGTTTGCTGCTTTCTGTCGTGTGGGGAAGCCACCGAGCCGAAAGTCGCCCTCCCCGTTCTGTTCAGGGCCCCTTCTCCCCAGAAAGTTGCCCAACCCAGAGGTGGAAGAACAAGGGGAATCAACCCCCGTGGACATGGGTTACAACGAGTTTGGGCTTTCTTCCCAAAAAGTTAGAGGTTAAAGATTATCCAACGCAAAGTTTCGGACTGCTCAGCGGACATCAATAAACTCATCAAGCATGGAACTTTCCTCTTTGCCTGCTTGGTAGAGTGCACACAGCTTACGAGTTGTTCCCCGGAAAATCTGAAGCATCGTCCTCGTCCGTTCAGCCCTTGGCTGAATTCCATTGCGCGGGATGTTTCAGGGGGAAATATGGGTTGTCTCTGAGGGGACCCCTAAATTGTGAGTGTTCCTTCGGTATCCCCTCAAAAAACCGTTTTAGGGTACCTAATGCGGATATTCCCCACAAAGGAAACCAAAGCAACCAAAAACCACCTGAAAGGTGCCTGGTCCCATTGCCTTCATTTACCAGCGTGTGTCTGCTGTTTCATTACTGGATATATGTTTTCTTTGGAGGGGGTTAATGTTTCCCTTGGCATACCCCGTGGACAAAAAGCCAGGGTATATCAAATCCCTCCCTGCCTAAAGACATCTACATATTTCCAGCAGTGATAGATTCCCTTTCAAACCAACGGGAGGGGGGGGGGGAACCTTGGCATATGGAAAACCACACCGGGTATAAACCAAACCAGTTGCTGAAGCCCCGGGAAAAATGATCAAATATAATATGTCCAGCGAACTCGATTCCCTTTAAACGGGGGAGAAAACAGCTTGGCATACGAATCCATGGAATGCCCCATGTCTGGTGCGATACCCCATGAAAACCACTAGAAGGGGGGGGAAATGAACAATATTCTCTCGCAACTGGAAGCCTCCCATGGAAAGATATGGCTGTGGGCCAACACCAATGGTGCCATTTTGGAGTAGGTGAATTCACCACCCGTTTTAGAACCTAATTGAGTGGTTGGATTGTATCGGATGTTCACTGGGGCGTGACCGATTTGGATTTTGACCATGGCCATATGGGTGTGTTGCTATTTTGCGAGGTACCCTTTGTTGGATGGCTTCAGAAGGGAATCCAAAAGGAAGCCACTCATGTGTGGGGCTACGGGATTTTGACCCACAGCCATATACTCGCCCCCCGCCCAACTCACCGACTGAAGTCTCAGCCCGGCGGCATCCAAGGCAGCATCGCCGCCCAGCTGCTGGCGCTTCTCGCGCAGGCCACGATCTGGCGCTCGAGGACCCCACGTGTGGCAAACACATACGGTGGATGGTTGCGAAATCCATTTTGTATCACCTGAGAAACCATGGTTGAAACCATGCTTTGTTGGTATTTACAGGGGAATTCAAACCCACCTCAGATGGCTGTTGATTGGTGGTTTGGATTGGTGATTTGGGGAATCAAACAGACGCCATAATGCCCTAAGTTGTTGGCTTGGATTGGTGGCTTATGGATTCAAACAGACCTCAGAATGCCCTAAGTTGTTGGTTTGGATTGGTGGTTTGGGGTTTCAAACCCAGCCTTTGCCCCCCACCCTTTCAAGCCGAAGACACGCACATTCCTCACCACAGGGCACCCAAGATGTCTAATCTCGCATCATCCCCGATCCTGAGAAAAATCATGGGCCACAAAAGGCGATATGTTTACCACCAAAAAAGAACAAGCTCATCCCGGCAGAAAGAAACACACAGACACACACCCACACCCACACACCCACCCACCCACCCACCCACCCACCCACGCACGCACGCACGCACGCACGCACGCACGCTTGCACACACACAGACACAGACACAGACACAGACACAGACACAGACACAGACACAGACACAGACACAGACACAGACACAGACACCGACACAGACACAGACACAGACACAGACACAGACACAGACACAGACACAGACACAGACACAGACACAGACGCAGACGCAGACGCAGACGCAGACGCAGACGCAGACGCAGACGCAGACGCAGACGCAGACGCAGACACAGACGCAGACGCAGACGCAGACGCAGACGCAGACGCAGACACGCAGACACGCAGACACGCAGACACGCAGACACGCAGACACACAGACACACAGACACACACACAGACACACAGACACACAGACACACAGACACACAGACACACAGACACACAGACACACAGACACACAGACACACAGACACACAGACACACAGACACAGAGACAGACACACAGACACACAGACAGACCCACCCACCCACCCACCCACCACCCACCCACCCACCCACCCACCCACCCACCCACCCACCCACCCACCCACCCACCCACCCACCCACCCACGCACGCACGCACGCACGCACGCACGCACGCACGCACGCACGCACGCACGCACGCACGCACGCACGCACACGCACACGCGAAGGCCACGAACATAGCACCGCACAGGCTCCGTTAAGAGGAAACTTACCTTCCAGGTGCCCTCTTCAAGTGCTACGTTTGGAGGAGGTCCCAATATGGCTGTGGCTCAAAAAGAATGGAGACCAAAATGGCACCTTGGTAAATGGAACCAAAGACTAACATTCCCGCGTAACCCCAGCTCTTAAATCTTAAGCCATGCCCAACACCCATCCGGGTTTCAGGACAACAGCCAGCTGTCCGGATCTCCAATCTCCCCTTTGGTCCTATGAGCCCTGCCTGCACCAGGCCCACCCGGGAGCTGATCTGCATGGCGGTGGTCAACGGGTTTGAGGGCACCTGAAAAAACGACACGTTCGAGTCGCCGGCGGTTGGAAGACGTTGCTCCCTCTTTTGTTTGGCCATGGGTCAAAACCCCGTACCCCCAAGTGAACATCCCAATCCCCACTAAAATTGGTTCTAAAATGGGTGGTGCACCCCAAAATGGCACCATTGGTTTTGACCCACAGCCATTTAGGAATCGGACCCCAAACCCGACAACAACAACAAAAGTCCCCCCCAACCGAAAGAAAAAAGAAAGAACAACAAGAAACCGGCCCCTGTCATGGAAGCTGACGACCGGGGTTGGGCAGGCTCTACCTTCCTCGGGAAGAGTACCCTCCCTATGGACGCTGGTTGGGAGCCGCCGATGTTCCACTTCCAGTGGAAAGAGGGTAGCGGAACCCAACTGGGCGGTTAACTTTGAACCGACCCCCAAAAGGGTACCCACCAACAACAAACACACTCGCATTGGACCCGTTCGACCCCGAACTCAGTCCACTGTTTGATTTACCGGAGGCTGCAAAGGGACGAGCCTTACCAAAAAGAAAACAAACCCTACGAATCCGAGCCTCCTCTTGACTCCGCCAAAACTATCCGAGGGTAAGGGAGCCGACAAAAGAACGTCTCCCCACCCTTCTGCCACAAAAGCAAAGCAGAAACGGGCCCTCCCCGAAACCAGGGGGTGCTTGGGTGTCATGTTTGCTGTGGGATTGTTTTATTTCTTTTTCTTGCTGGTGCCATGTGGGTGTGGCTCAAAATAAAAGAGCCAGGGTTACACATGGTTTGGTTCCATCTACCAAGGTGCCATTTTGGTCTCCATTTTTTTTTGAGCCACAGCCATGTGTTGATCTTTCGGAAAAAATCTCAAGCCAGGCGGCCATACCCAGCGCGGCATGCAGGACCTCCAATAGCTGAAGGTACGTAAAGATGGAGATGGTGTCCTGTGTCATGGATCGAAAGGCCGGTTGGCCCCCAGTGAACATCCCAATCCCCACTAGAATAGGTTCTAAAATGGGTGGTGCACCGACCCCAAAATGGTACCACTGGTTTTGACCCACAGCCTGGGCATGTGTCAACATAAAGCCACCAGGAATTGGACCGCAGGTTGTAGCCATTGTTTCCATTTACCTGGGCAACCCATTTTGGGATTCTGGGACCCTCCTGGCTCCCAAACCTCCCGGAAAAAAAAAAAAAGCGCTGTCGGGGGTCCCGCCGGAGTTTGTGCTAGGATTCGGTGGTCTGGAGATGTCCAAGCAACGTGACTGAAAGAGCATCCCAAGAATCTCTTTGGAGGTGTTGGACATGAAAAACAAAAACGATGTGCTGGGAAAGAAACTCAATCAGTCTTGGCAACCAAAAGCTGATGTTTAAATCAACATTGGCTCCAGAGCCCAACTGTCTTAGTGTTATATAAACCAGTTTGGTCCGTTTGGGTGACCCTCCCACGCTCGGCGGCCTCATTTTGAACCGAAGCATAAAAGCTTCCAGCTCTCAAATAAATTTCCCCCATGCCGAAGCAACTTGGCATTCAAGGACACAATCGACCTGTTCCAATCTACGCCTTTTCGGAATGAATTCTCATGTGTCCCGGTCCAGCTTGGCCGACATGTTTACCACGGTTGGACAAGCCCGCAAACCCGGCAAAGCAAAGAAGCACACCATGTCAAAGAGTTCAGCCCACATTCTTTTCAAACATATTTCTTTGAACAGAAACCACCTATTCTCCTTAAGGTGTGGCCCAATTTCAGAAGAGAAGGATGCTGCAAGAGAATGGGAGCCGTACGACTAGAAATTGGACATTCAGCTCCTGAGTGTTGCACATGGGGTCTGGAACATGTACCCCTCGTGGTGGTTATTTCCAGCAGAGTTCTACAACAAAACAAGTTCGCAAGTCTGCTCCTCCAACGTCATTGTTTTAGGGGGTGGCTTCCCACTTGAGCAGCGCCCAAAACCATTGCGTGTTGCACTTCTATCATCATAGTTCTGTAGCCCTCGGTATACGGTAGAACCGCCTAAAATGGCCCACGGCGGGGTTTTCGGCGCCGCTCCCTTCTTGTTGTGAAGCTCCGAAAACCAAGTGGCCGTGGGGAAACGGCACCCTCTTGACCTTAAAAAGAACCCCCAACAAAGAACGGGAAAAAAGGGAACAACCTACCAACCAAACTACAACGGTTGCCAACCGACCGACCGACCGACCGACCAACCAACCAACGAACCAACCAACCTACGGATACCAACCAACAACCTAACCACCTGCCTACGGATACCAGCCAACCAACTGACCGGCCAACCAACTGACCAGCCAACCAAACAACCAAACAACCAACCACTCCAACCAACGACTCCAACCACTCAATAGGGGGACCAAACCCAGTAAAAGACTAGCCCTAGTGTTTGTGTTCCACTCATCCGAACTGGGTGCCTAGGAAAAAAACAAAACACCTTGCGCATGGCATTGCGAGCCACACGCTTCCGCACCCCGCGCAATCCCCCGGCTCCGTCCTCGGCGGCAGCCGCTCCTTGAGTGGCCACCATGAACAGCGCCTCGGATGGACAAAGCTGTGAACTTCGAGGTTGGTGCAAGCAGAAATGTTTCCAATGTTTCCCAACAACACCATGTTTGGACGCTGCCTCTGGGATACCACAAGAAGGGTACAAAGAACATACGGGCGCGTGGTTTGAAGGGTGGCCTCGGGCTGAGAGCAAAACCCAAGAGGAAACCTCTCATTTTTCTGGGTGAATTATAATATTTCACAAGCCCGAAATAAGGTGGCTCGGGGGCTGTTCCCCTCATAAACTACCATTTGCGGTGAGGTCGTGTGAGGTCGTTATAATTCGCCCAGATGGGTGTCCTTTTGATTGAAAGTACATGGATTTCCCTGGGAGATCATGATGCTCCTGGTTTAGTGGAGATTCAGAACTATTGGAGGGGTACACGCTTTGTCGGATGGATTCATCTGGGGTCAACATTAACCCGCAAATCTAGCAACCCAACCCAACCAAACCAAAGCTCACTCCACTCAAACCTCAAATCCCCCAAGCCGTTCGAGCGATATTAAACACACCGGCCAGGGACCTAAACTAAATAGCCTGACAGCAAGCCAACACCCGTCCTCAACAAAAGAGACTCCTCATAAAGCTCGCAGCAAGGTCACCTGTCAAAGGATCCTTCTATTGGTGGAAGCTTCAAATATGGGCTCACATTCTCAAGTGTGCAGTTGTAGCGAATGGTCAGCCATAAGCCTTGCGTCAAAATCGGGGACCGCAAAATGACGGTGTGCCTTCTGGCTTCTCTTGCTTCAGTTTCATGGATAAAATAAGCATATTTCCAGTAGTAGATTCCCTTTCAACCCAACAGGAGAACAGAAAGAATAGTCTTCAGCAAACGGAGGTTTAAAAAAAAATGCATTAATTAACCGGCGTCTCTTTAAGACGCCTTCGCCCCGCCGCATCTTACCCTGAGATCGAGGCTCCCAAGACCATGCGAAGAATTGGATGCTCGAGTAGAGCACCAGCCAAGAGGGCACAATGATGGAGGCCACGATGTACGCCACCGCCGAACACCTGAAAGTAGAACTAGGAAAACCGCCCAAAACTAGGGGTTGCCTAGTAAATTCATGCATATTGCTAGGCAACCCCCAAAACCATTGGTGTTCAATCCTTTTGGTTTGCCTCGCAAACCAAAGGCTGGTTTCCGGCCTGGCCCAACTGTGTGCCATCCGAAGTGCTACGTGACTTATGTGGGTCATAGTCATGGTGTCCGTGATTGATGGTATTTTTTTATTGTTCTGACTTCCGATCAATTGGATTGGCCAAAAGATTTCATTTACCACGAAGCTGGTCTTCCCAAAAAGCTTAATTCCAGTAACTCAGCAAGTGAAATTCCCCGCAAACGAATGGGTCTATGACTGTCCCTACCCGAAGTGAAACGTTTTGAGCATGGCAAACAAGGGGGCAGCAAACAAAATCGTCACTTGCTGGGTGCCACTAAAACATAGATTGTCTTTCTTCCTGTCAGAACCAGTTCCCTTTAAAACCGTGCAATCAAAAAACATGGCAAATCTAGTCCGACATCATACTCTGGGTGGACAAAATCCTGAACCAAGTGAAATGGATGAGCCCCCCGCACCTACCCACCTGCTGTGTGGATGCGTTGTCCCCAAGTCGTAACCAAGTCGTTCAAACTCCCTGATTCAGGTTGCCCACACAAATCTGTCAATCTACGGAACCCCGACAAGCCTATTTAAGGTTGGTTTAAAGGGACATTGAATTGGACACCGCATTTTTGGGGGTCCAAATCCGCGAAACGTGACTCTAAACATGTTGCACGGAGAGGTTTTGGATGCTTTGTGTCCAAAAGGTCTCTCTGGGGCCTTCGAGTGTACACCCAAGACCAGCCATGAATCCATCCCCAAAATCCGAGACTTACTTGCCCAAAGGACCTGGAAATACAAGGAGATCACCTTTTGGAACCCTGACTATGTACCAAATGAGGCAAACCAGATAGTTATTTCAGGTTGATTCGCTTTGAACCTGCATCAGGTTTTTGAGTTCCACTCAAGATAGGCAGATTCACTCGCCATGGGCAAGCCATGGTCACCACTTCTAAGGCCCATGATCATCATTCCCAACACCCGGAACGGTCATTCCCTAATGAGCACCAAGTTGTGTGCAGGTCAAAAGACCATACATCTAGGGGAACCATGACCCTGGTAAGGATCCTTATAACAGGTACTTTATGGCTACTTGGTAGCGGATCTTTGGACTGAACAGTTTTTTTTGCGTTGACACTTTGCGGATTTTCCGAATTGGACCCACACACAGTGTTCAACTTTTCGCAGAGGGGTCGCTACAGCACCCAAGTTTACTTGAGCCACTTCTCAAAACCTGGGCAAATAAAGGTTAAGGGATACTCCCCTTGCCACAAATGGGTGCGGATATTCGCCTTTTGAATTCTTTAGAATGTTCCGGGTAGATCATTTTACTCATGGGGATTGATTATGGCTCACTTGGGGACCAGGATGGTCATCAAGTGGTAGGGATCCTGAACCATTGTAAGGATTCCTCTTAAGGGAGCCAACCGGAAGGGGATTCCCTGAAAGGGAAACCACCAGTTGGATGGTTTTCCTGGGGCTCATTCCAATTCTCCTTCCCTGATCGCACCGAACCTACAATCTCCCCGAACAGGAAACCACCAGTTGGATGGCTCACAAGGATCATCCCCCTCATTCCCTGGCCATCGCGGTGCGAATCGCCAAAGGGGATGACTCGCGACTCACGCGATCTCGCGGTCGCGCATTCGCTCGGAGGCAAAGGCGCGGGCCGATGGTGCCGAACTTGTACCCCGTGCGCCAGGCGCCCCCGTGAAAGGCAGTGGCGCTGAAGAGTTGCATGGGGTTCTTCAACGCCGTGCTCGGCTGACCTGGCGACGAGAAAAAAGAAAAAACAAATCCGTGGCGGGTGCTTTCCACTTGGTGGCCCAAAAAACGGGTGGCTCGGCTTTTTGTTAGGGGACTCCCAAAATATGGTTGTTTTCCTGGTATTCTTGTTGAAACCATCCAACAAAGGGCACCCTCAAAAAATGACGCACACATACAGGGAAATGGGTTCGCTGTGCAGGATTTGAACATGTTCTTTGTTCAGGGGCTTCCTGGGTGGACTGGCCCAAAAACATCCAACCTTTACCACTAACATGGTCTTCCCAAGTTTTGAGATCCAACTCCAGTGAGTTAGTTGAAGGGAAAATAAGAGGAGGTTGGGTGAAAATTTGAAGGTCAGTAGCTATAGGCAATCCTTCAGGAATGAACCCTCTGGGACCCCCTTGTAAGAAACACCGGGAAACGAACATGAGCCCCTAAAAGGACCTCCTCGACTTGGTCGTCATTTTGTCAGAACCATAGGTGTCCTTTTTGGCTGGTTTGCTTGAAAATTAAGGGTGAGTCCTGGTTTACCTACTTGGTTCATCTACCATCTGGAAACCAAGCAAACCAACCCAAAACGGCCCTATGGTCAGATTATTTGGGGGTTTCTCCAAATAAGGGACCCCTTTGTGGGAAACTGCAACCAAAAGGAAACCACTGGAATCGGTCCCCAATCTTGAGAACGTATTTGGTCCGAAAATACGCCCTCATTTCAGTTGTAAGGGCTGATTTCTCCCTCCCACCTGCACTGAGGGGGTTCCTGAGGTCGTTGACCAGCAGCGCCAGCCTTGGATTCTCCGGAACGGGAAAGGCTCGGGGCTCGGGGCTTGTTTTTCGTTTGTTGTATTTTTGTCGTTGTGGTTCTAACGGGATACCCAAAGGACAAACACAATTTCCCCCCTCCCCCCGCAAGAAAAAAGAGACAAGCCCACTCTTTGGCAGGATTGGCAAAGTTGGTTTAGGCAAAATGTACCATGGCTTACGAAAACAAGGAATGCCGAACGAGTTGCTTAACCAATACTGGTTTCAGCATGCTTGAACAGCACGTCCCAACCCTGCTCTTTTTAAACGAGTTGAGAAAGGACGCTACGGTTGTGGGCAATAAGCCTTTCCATGTTGCCGATGTAGGCCATGACGTAACTTTGGCACTCTAAAACTATTGCAGAAATATGTCCATTATGCCAAACATTGCCAGACTGTCCATAACCATGAGGATATCATGACTCACGGAAGTGAGTAGGGAGTCTTTCGAAGATGAATACGTAGTCTCGCCAAACTCCTGTGCACTTCCGGAGCGTGTTTGGGGGCAAAACCAACTCTACCATCTCTACTCTTCGTATGGTAGCGAAAAACTGACTGTTTTTTTGCAGACCCCCGGTAAAAAATAAAACAGAACCAAAAAATAAAAATGAACAGAACCAACAAAAACTAAAAAAAAAAAAAAAACATGAGCCAAAAGCCGTGCAGCTACTTTGGCTTCGTTGGGCATTTGAGAATCAACCAAGCGGGTCCTGGTTGATTTTCATCGGGGGGTGTTCAATTCCTTTTAGTGCTTGGAACCAAAGACCACTTTTGGAGGGGATTCACCCCCCTAATGGGACGGGTTCTACTTAGATCCTGGGTCAACATTAGTGGGACCAAACAAATCCCGAGTCTCCCAAAAAACGCCCCTCCCAAACTGGGCGTTGTAAGTCCATACGGGCTTCATTCATCTGTCAAGATTTCCTTTGCTTCCCTGGATATACACCCGCAGAACTCAGTGTCACGTTTAAAATGCAGAAGGATCAACACTCTATTGGGTCAAAGGGAAACCAAAGAGAAGTTGCAATTCGCATGGGGCTGGCTTTATGTACAGAAGTTCCCAACTTCGACGTCTTCAGGCAAAGAGTTGCCGAAAGAGGCGGCAGAACTGAAATAAGGAAACCCCCCTCAACACTGGTTGGTGGGCATCAATCCCCGAATGTCCACCAAAGGGCCCATCGGACTCATTAAGCTTCATACCCAAAATCACAACCAACATGTTGCTTTCTTAAAAAAAAAAAAAAAACGTATTGCTTCTCAACCCGTGCCAAAAAGCTTCAAGCGGTTGTCTGTGTGTGTTTGTTTTTCAGGCTCCCCAAACATGGGGTGTTTCTTCAATGAAATCCAAAGGGGAGCGACTTATTCTTGGGGTTGCCTCAAAAAGACAGAGCCAAACAAAGACACGCTCACTTCCCCGGCTGACGAATTCGACCTCTCCCCAACACCCGAAACTGAATGCTTTTATTTGTCTTCCTCTTTTTTCCGTGGCCTTCCGACTTCGACCCCTTCGACATTCAAACCCAAATACGGAACTAACTTCCCGTGATAAGGGAGGGACACCCCTCACCACTGGCTAGTGGACATCAATCTCCATCCACCAAATGGTCTCAATGGACTCATGACTTGCTGCGACAGGTAGGAAACGTGGCAGAAAAAAAGAAGAAAAAAAACAGAGGTCCCCTTAAAGGAACCCACCAGTAGGATGGTGCAGAGGTCCCCTGAAAAAAAACAAAAAACTGTAGGGTTTCTTCTATTCATGAGCCACTTCTCAGACTTCCCGGATTCCCCGCATCTCTCGCACCGATCGCAAGACACCCCCGAGCGAAGTCGCGAAGCGAATTCGCTTGGAACGGACGGGCGGCATCACGGCGTTGGAGGTCTCGCCCTGGAAGACCTCCATCGGCTTGAAGTGGTGCATTCCTCGCAACCCGATGTAAACAACGAAAAAAATATCTCCCAAAAGGAGAACCCCTGGGCTTGGCTTGGTGTCTTCAAAAAAAACAAAACGAGGACACAGAACCCCTGACCTTGACTTGGTGTCTTCAAACATTGGGGGGGGGGGGGGAGGAAAAAAAACGAGGAGTCAAAAAAAGCTCAGCTCCACTTTTTGACTGCAGGGTAGACTCAAACCCATCGTTGGTTCATTTGCAATAGTCAACAAGTGGAACCTTGCGCAGTTGCCCCTTACAAAACCTGCAAATAGAAAGGTGATCAACGTTTTGGGGAATGACTAAAAAGTACATAAGAAAACCAAAAGGTCAAAAGGTCAGCTTTGGGCAAGTGAGATTGGGGTTGGGGTTTGGGTTTTGGTTCAATCAAAACCTGTTGTTCTTTTATTTGGTGTAAGTTGGGTTTTGCTTCTTTTTCAGACATCAACGAGACATAGAATCGAGTGCCCAAATTGGGGCAGGAAGCGCATACAATCGCCTACATACTTACCCTGACTTACTTTGTCCCACCTTACGTTACCCTACCTCACCCGGTGCCTAATCCCCCCTTCCCCTATCTAACCCTGCCAGCGTACTATCTACTAAATTCTATTCATAGATAGGGTCCTAAAGTGAATACATACAAGCTATGTCGTACATAGGATGACTCATAGGGTAACAAAGTTAGTACTACATAAAACATAGGGTACCTACAAGTCATTCGAGTGTGAATTTTAATCGTTCCGTGTTTGTGGACCGGAGGTTGAAGGGAAACATTCCCCAGAAACGAGTGCGTCCCTTTTTGAGGCAAAACGTACAACCAAACAGAAAAACCAAATCCAGTTTTGGGTGGCCCCTACACCCAAACAGTCAACAAACACGTTTTTGGGTGGTCGAACCTTCAAAAAAACAACCCAAAGAGCAAAAACAACACAGCTGTTGGGGCTCCAACCTTAAAAAACAAAAACCACAATATTTGATGGTCAAACCTGAAAAAGACCAACCCAAAAAGCAAAAAACAAACACAACTTTTTGGGGCTCCAGCCTGAAAAAAACGGCCACACCCAAAGAGATCAAAAAAATAACACACACACACACAGAGGGGCAACAACAAAAAACCGACAAAAAAAACACGGGGGCCGGGTCCTTTGTAGGCCAAGGCAAAGGACTTGTTGCTCACCACGGAGGCCGTGGCCGTGGCGGGCGCCACGTTGGAGCTGACCACGCAGCCCGCCGCGCGGCAGAGCACGGCGCGCCAGTGCTGCAGGCGCTTGGCCAGGCAGTAGTTGGGGCCCTGCTCCTTGACCTCAGCCGAATGGTTCGGCTGAATGGGCGGGCTGTACGTTTCTCAGATCTGCTAGTGTTGTGTTTCGACTTTTATTGGGTTAGAGCTGGACTTGACCTCAGGCTGTGGGTCAAAACCCCGTACCCCCCAGTGAACATCCCAATCCCCACCAAAATAGACTAAAACGGGTGGTGAATTCACCTTCCCCCTTCTTTGGGCTCCTCAAAAAAGACATCCCCATTTGACCCCACCAGTAGGTAGGTGTGGTTTATCCCATACTTAGGGTTTCATCCACAAATGAAAGGGCTGAATGGGCTGCATGGGCTGAATGGCTGGGGCTGTCCGTTTTACAGAGCTGCTAGTGCTTTTTTATTTTTATTGGGTTACATATGGAAACCCAAACACTAAGCCACTAAAAACAACTCAAGACCTAAGCGGACGGCTGAGAACTAATGTTGACCCCGGATGAATAAACCCCCGATCAAAAGGGGGGGAGTGTCCCCTTCTGTCACTCTTGGAGGGACCACCCCCTATTCATAGAACCGGTTTATTGATTTGGGGTCAACATTGTCCTCCGAAAGAACCAACAATTCAGCAAACCGAATGGGTGTGCCGTTTTCAGGGGACCCTTAAAACGGCGGTGTTCCTGCTGATGGTCGTGTAAAACCACAAAAAAGTGGGTACCTTAAACAAGAATCTACATTTCTTTTGGCTATTGAACCGTACGGGGTAGTAACCCCTTGACCCGTCCGCAGGAGCCTTCGTACAACTTAGCTGCTCCCTGACGGTTCCGCTTTGGATTCAATCGCTGAGCCTCCCCGTTGCGGCGCGCCTCAGTTTCTCGAAGTGGTTTTGCTTTTCACGGGTTGATGTCCATTGGGGGGGGGGCTCATAGCCATACCAACATGGAAGCAAACACAAAAGTTTCGCGGTTTCGGCTTCCGCCCTGGCATGTGCTCCTTGATTTCAGTTGCTTCATGAAAATCGAAGGACAAGCACCATTTTAAGGGTCCCCTAAAAAGTGCTTCTCAAACTTGGGGAAGGTTGGACTGCTTTTTGTCTCCCCGCAGCCGCATCCAAAAAGGGGACCATTAGGGATGCAAGCCATGAGGGCAATCCAAACCACCTTTGAAGAAAGCACCCACCATCTTCCACCGGCAGCATTATGCCAAGCTGCTTGATTGTCTCTCCTCTGACCGTCAACTTCTTTCAGCGGGTCGTTTCCCTTTGGCTTCCCCTTGAAAAACAAGCCCCCCACAGCGAAAAAACACGAATTGATTCGAACCCTGGAAAGCCAGGGAAGAGCTCTGAAAAGACCCAACGAGGATCTCGACCATTGAAAAAAAAAAAAAACGACGAGGAGGTTGAATGGATGGAGTCACACAAAAGACCCAGAGACCAGCCCATGTTTTGGGCTCCTCCATGTGCCAAAAGGCCCCTGGAAAATACTGTTTCAAGCCAACAATCAAGGAATTGTCGATGTATTTCAAAACATGTATTTACTTATTATGTTTATTTTGTTCCAAATTAAATTATTTGTTTATTTTATGTTTATCTACTTATCATTTGTGTTTACAACGTCATGGTTTACAATAAACCTTTCCCGGTTCAGGCAGTGTGTCTGCTTGACGATGCAAGAACTGCCCCGGCTGTGCTCCCCAGTCGCAAAAGTGTATATCCTTCAGTAATTACCTCGCTCACCTGGCCATTCTTGAGCCAGTCCCTCCCGAAGTGCCTTGGCTACTGTGGCCTGACCCGAAACTGGAAGGGTCCGGACCAAAGACATCTGGACTGCGGCACCCTGAACCAACTTGTCCCAGATTGCTTGCCGTCTTGTGTGGCCAAGGCATGCGCAACGAACATTCTTCCAAAGGATCGAAAGGCTGCAGTGAAACCTGTAAACAAGGTGAAACTGGCACATCTTACATAAGCCCCACACGCAGGCAGATCACTCCACCGACTGGCATCATCGAGATCGGATCCACTCGTAGCTGCGCGACAATGTCACCAGCAGCGGAGGCCCGACCGCGCCACCGGGTCATCGTAGGAAGGTCCAAATCGAAGAACTCTCCTCTGGTTTTGGCCGGCCAGGCACGGCTCCATGCTCAGCGGTTCTGCTGGGATGAGTTCATCCCAGTCTTCAAACTAGACTTCCTTGAAAGCATGCTCCAGACGCCAGCTAGCGCCGGCCGTCCAGCAATTCCTCTAGGAACTTTCCTGGTGAATCCTTCAAGGTTCCGTACAGACCACTCCGCTGCCGCTTGCATCGCGCGACCTCGCCCCAGCCGCGGCTTCCTTCCCACTCCGGGCAGCACGTTTGGTCCTCGAGCCGCGCTTGGTATGTTGCCGCAGGATCTCAGAGATGGGCGGAGCCTCGCCAGCCGCGGCCTTGGTACACACACACACACACATCGAACAGGACCAAAAGCGGGGGGGGGGGGGGCTCTGCGCACTGTTTTTCCTACAAATCGCAACCATATTGACCATAAATATGACTATAATGCAGAAATATGTGAATTTGTGCGTGCGTCTTTTATATAGAGCTAAATTATTTCGGATCCGGCATATGTAAGGGTTCCGCCTATGAGTTTGACACAGCGCGGGGTACTAACATTTGCTGAACTTATCTACATGTATGCATACACTTTCGACCTGCAGTCTAGAAACATGAAGCAATATTGATTTGTTATCTCTCGCAAATCATAGTCGGCTCTGCTCTCAATTCTGCTCGGCTGAATCCCACTTGCCAACATCGCGGAGACGCTAAACACATGTCTGCTATCCCTCATGGCCTCCAACGGGTGTCTTCCAAGTGAACATATTACGTTCCTCGCAAAAGCGCACACAGCCTGCTGCAGCGTGCAGGAACTCAAAAACAACCAAATATCTCCCGCTCCCTCAAGCCAAGCCCTAATGCAGTGTCAAGGATCTCAAATTCAACCACGTTCCCTCAAGCCAAGCCAAGCCCTTGCAGCAAACCCATTGCTTGCAAAACCTGCTCCCAGCACCGCCCAGCCGCCAGCTTCTGCCACTCCACGAAGTCGTGCTCCCAGACGTAGAAGACGCAGAGGCCCTGCGCCAGGAACAGATCCAGGCGCTGGAAGGTCTGGCGATGAAGCTCCGGGGACGTCTTGCCGCCCACACAAGTGAAGCTGAGGTGCCTCGGCTGGACAGGCAGCTGCTTGTTCTTTGTTGTTACTGGCTGCAACTGCTCCATCAATTATATATCTAACTAGCATGTACATGGCTACGCACCATTGTAACAGCTTATTCAGTACAGTAAATATCGCGCGATAGTGCGTTGCATTGCCAGCTGCCCAGTCGCTCTGGATGCTTGGGAGGGAAGCCATGGTAGTAGTTCCCCAGAAATTCCACAACCTCACCCCGCTCCGGGTCGTGCGCGTCAGGGCGCAGCGCTCTATCTGGAACCAATCCGGCAAACTCTTCTCCGGACCAAGCGCCAGCTTCTTCGTCAAACCTGTGACGAAACGAGAATTCGAAGCCGCGCTCCTCCTCCAAGAGATCCAAAAACTCACTTGCAGCACGTGACCAGCACGGAGAGGATAGCACATGCGCGCCAACCTCGGCAGAGTGTGCTGCGCACAGCTGCCGCGGAACACCAGCAGCATCTGGATACGCAGCGCGCTTCCCACACACAGAGCACCTGCGATGTATGATGTCAACCATGCCCTCCAACTTGCACTCGGCACACCCGGAGGGCCGCGTATCCTCTGGCATCCCGAAAGACGGCCGTGCTCTGCCACAGTTGCATTTGCGACTTATGATGTCAACCATGCCCTCCAACTTGCACTCGGCGCAACAGGAGGGCCGAGCATCCTCCAGCATCCCGAAAGAAGGAATGGCTCTGCCACAGTTGCATTTGCGACTTATGATGTCAACCATGCCCTCCGACTTGCACTCGGCACAGCAGGAGGGCCGTGTATCCTCTGGCATCCCGAAAGACGGCCGTGCTCTGCCACAGTTGCATTTGCGACTTATGATATCAACCATGCCCTCCAACTTGCACTCGGCACAGCAGGAGGGCCGTGTATCCTCTGGCATCCCGAAAGACGGCCGTGCTCTGCCACAGTTGCATTTGCGACTTATGATGTCAACCATGCCCTCCAACTTGCACTCGGCACAGCAGGAGGGCCGCGTATCCTCTGGCATCCCGAAAGACGGCCGTGCTCTGCCACAGTTGCATTTGCGATGTATGATGTCAACCATGCCCTCCAACTTGCACTCGGCACAGCAGGAGGGCCGCATATCCTCTGGCATCCCGAAAGACGGCTGTGCTCTGCCACAGTTGCATTTGCGAGATATGATATCAACCATGCCCTCCAACTTGCACTCGGCACAGCAGGAGGGCCGAGCATCCTCCAGCATCCCGAAAGACGGCCGTGCTCTGCCACAGTTGCATTTGCGACTTATGATGTCAACCATGCCCTCCAACTTGCACTCGGCACAGCAGGAGGGCCGCGTATCCTCTGGCATCCCGAAAGACGGCCGTGCTCTGCCACAGTTGCAGCGCGGATGTTTGATGTCAACCATGCCCCTCAACTTGCACTTGACGCAGCAGGAGGGCCGCTTGTCGCCCTGAATCCCAAAGCACGGATGTTTTGCGCCACCGCACCTGCAGCCCCGACGCTTTTTGCTGGACGCGCCGCACACCGTGCCACGGACATGCAGTCTTCCAGACCCAGCTGCCTGCCCGACTGATGGACCTTTCAGGCCCTCGATGGCACCAACGGCTCCCTCGCACCTCCAGGGGCAAACAAAAACAACCCGGCAAGCTTTCATCACTCAGCAAGGCCTCCACTTAGAGCTGCTGTGCCTTCCTACCATTTCGCCAACATCTTCACTCAGTGAACTGCAAGGGTCATCCCAGCCCAGCCCTTCCATACACGCAAGCCGAGCCCAGCCGGGCCTGGCAGTCCCGCAAACCAGCACTGCCACTGCCCAGGCTGCCAAGGTCGCACCCGCCCTGCCCTGCCACGGGCGAGGCGTGCGCCAACTGCGACTCGCGGCCATGGGCCTCCGTGCGGCGCTTGGGCCGCTTGGGCCGCTCGGGGTGCCGCGTCTCACCCAAACTGTGCCTTGGGAATGCCTCACAGCCCTGGAACAGGTCGGAAAAAACAACAAAACATATTCTGCAAAGAGAAGGGCTGCCTTCAATACCTCCCCTTGCCATTCCAAACCCGGCAGAGGGGCGATGGCATCGCAGACCGGAAGAGATGCGCCCTCTTCCTGGCGAAACGGGTTGGCCCAAACCCACCGATGTGAAGATGGGGGTCCCGTTTCCCGTTTCTCGCCGCTCGTCAAAAAGCTGTGGGCCGCCTTTGGCAAATTTGGGTGTATCTCTTCTTAGGGGCGCCCCAAGATGATGGCGTTCCTTTAAAACCGGAGTACCCTCAACAAAAACATACACCCATTAAAGGAGAAACCAAAAGGCACCAAAAGGCACCCACCAACAAGGGAGGATCCTTTTTCTGGGAACCGAGTTCACCTCGCAAAGGAGCACCAGCACCGGTTCAGAGGAGACTCCAACAAAAACAGGGGTCAGATTGGGCTGAAGACCCCTGCTGAATTCATGTTGGTCTGCTGGAACGGGTCGTGCTGCTGCTCAAAGGCCCTCAAAATATACGTACTGCCTTCCTCGACTAACGAGCTTTTAAGGTGCATCAGACTGTGCATTGCTCCAGCTGGGCAATGTACGTGGTGCATTCTGCAAAATCTAAAGCAACTGGGGCATCCACGGAGCCTTTTCTTTTGCTTGTTCGATCAATGGACAATGACATCATCCGGCTTGGTTTGCTCGGGAGCGCAAGAAGGAGAACTGTGGTGCGTGTTTGTGCATCACACTCAAAGAAAGAGACTGTCAGTTTCTGGTTCATGTTTCATGAACATTAGACTATAACATCGTGTCAAAAGAGTTCTCATCAAATGCCGGCGTTGGGATTTTTTGGGCTGTTCACGATACTCGAGTTGGGTTTGTAGTATTGTATCAAGTGCTGCTTTCAGGAGAGGTTCGCCATCCAGCCACAAGCGCACCTGAGGTGGTTGGTAATCTGGAGTTAAACAGAGCTTCAAATCACACGCAATCGCTGGGTGCAGTGAGCGTCAAGTTGAGAAGCATCTCGGCCCCTAGACATTTCTCTGGCAAAACAAACCAAACCGAACCAAACTGAATGCACCAACAAAAAGCATCCTCACACAAAAGACCCCCCCCTCAGGTGCCAACCCCATGTTTATTTATGTTCCAACCGGTGGCTGAAGCAAACGGCCGACACCGGACCCCGAAACCGAAAACCGACCCGCCGCGTTCGCCCCGCGGTGGTTTCGGTGCTGCGCTGCGGCCTTGACGCGGTTGGGCGCCAAACCCATCTTCGCGAACTTCAAGCCCGCGCCCAGCAGGCCCTGCCACGCGGGCGCGCGGCCTCATATGGCGGGCGGGGAGCGTCCTTTTTTTTTTGCGGGGGGGGGGTGGCTGTTTGTAAGTTGCGCAAAGCTTGGTGTTTGGAGGTTCTAGACTGCGGAGAGATCCTCCCAACCTCCTGGTGGTTTTTAGGGTCCATCCGGCAAGCACCCGGCAACCTGCAGAACCTGCACACGCCGTTGACCGATTCAATCCGGTGAGCTCATGAACAAATTTGCCCACGGCGGCAACTCACGAGACCAAATCCATGCCGATCGGCAGTTGAGATGGATGAAACCCTCTGGGATGAACCAGTTACCAAGTGGTTCACAATGTTGACCATTTACAGTATGTTTAACTCCATGTCCAAGTGGCTTATATACATTTTGATCCCCACATTGGCCGAATAAGCATTTCGATCTCGAAAGAATTGTCTTATGTTCCTTCACCACAAGAAACTGCCTCCCAGGTTGGACTGGGCAATGGTAGCTTTTCAAGTCAGCGGCTTGGGGCGAAGAGCTGTATCTAAAGTTGCTTGATTCACAGCCATTCCCGGGCCGGTGCAGTGCAATTGGCGGAGGAAAGGCCGAAAGGTAATAGCAAACCACCCATTTAGAGAATATTCCATTGAAAAACAAAAAGACAGATTTACCCTTCATGCGGGTGGGCCTTCTTTTAGGGGACCCCCCAACAAATCGTTGGTTTCCCTTCGGTTTTGCAACCAGCCAAAAAGGGCTTCCGCAACAAAACCACATACACAACCCACTCACTTCCTGAGTGGACTGGCCCAACATGAACATCCCAACGCGTTCTTTGCCGTATTTTGCCATGCTAAGCTGGCCACCAAACCCAAAAAAGTGACGCGCGAGTCCGTGACCCTCAGGCCGTGAGAGAAAGCGCTCCCTTGGTTTATTCGGACGCGGTGCGCAGATTCTCGGCGGCCGCCAGCTTGGAGCTGGGCGTGCAAAGGTGGGCGTCCGTCGGGGTGCAGAGATACGCCACCGCCGGCTTGGCCTCCGCCGGGGCTGAGGCGCGCGCGAGAGGCGGGCGAGAGGCGCGCGGAGCGCGGGTTGGCCGAGGCCCCGAACCATGGCGTGAGGGCGTTGGTGGTGCTTCATTTTTGGAAGGAAGCTGCGCTTTTGGGGGTTGGTTTTTGGAGGGAAACCAAAGGACAATGCGAATGTTGGGTCATTCATTGCCAGCGACTTGCCAGAAAGCTTAGGGAGTGGACCGGTTCCTCTTTGTGCTGGTTCTCAGCAGGGAATGCGTGGTAATGCCCCAAACTGAACCGCGGTTCATTCCCAAAACCCCGAAACTGGATCTTCCAATGAGAACTGCAAGTTCTTGGGGTGTGTCCGAATGAAAACCTGACTAAACAAAACTAACAAATGGAGTCGTCTTTTCCAGGGTACCCTTGAGTTGAAGCGGAGGGCACACTTCTTTCTCCAATCTTGAAACGTGGTACTTTTGAACATGCATCTTTTATTCGACCACGAAACAAATGGCCCCCCCGGCTTGTCTTTTCATTCGTGCTTGAAGGGAAACACAAAGGAAGCGGGTTTGAGGCTACTGTTGGGAAACCAAAAGGAAACTATTTCGTAGACTGCTCTGTACCCTTTGATGTTCGAAGGGACACCGAAAGGGGCCTTTTCTCAAGCGACCCTTTGTGTATTTGTACGTTTCTTTCGAGGGACACCTCTTCTGAGGGGTACCTTGCAATCTTTGAAGAGCAACTAGCTACTGGGCTCAGAAGCTGAAGCACCTCTGTCGCAGGTCCATCCGACACTGTCAGTACGGAACAACATGTTGAACACATGAGTCACAAAATGAGAATCCAACATGAAGAATTTCAACAGAACCACTGCTGGAAATTCAACAAACATACAAAAACGCCAGTTGAGTCACAATCAAACCCGGTATTGAAATGGCCTGCCCCGTTCCAGTGTGAAAAACTACAAAGGCGGCCGCACCTAGTTCTGGCTGGGATTGCCCCTTGTTACCCTCTCATTGCCCATATGACTGGGTATGTGTCAAATACGGGGGACCCCCACAATGATGGCTTGTTTGTTGTAACCAACCCCAAACAGGGCCTGCAAAACAAACACCGCACACACACACACACACACAAATGCTATTTTTTGCAGGCTGCCCGTTTCTATTTTTAAGGGAAGCCACAGGGAAAGCACTCATGTTTGGTTTTCCTACGTGGAGACAAACCCCAATTTGCCAAGGCAAAGCCAAAGAAATACCAACATGGTGCTCTGGGCGAACGATCCTTGTATCAACCTGCACCTAAAAAGAGAGGCTTCCCACCAACAAACTTTGTGAGGTGGCTGTGTTTATCCCAAGCCATATGAGTTGGGTGAGGTCAAAGGGAAACCAAAATTAACCGATGTAGCTGACAGACACAATTGAGGGATTTCGAATTACAACGACGAGCCTGTCAAGCTTTCTTCCGGATATCAAACCCTCCAAAAACGCACACGCACCTGTTGGGGCCCCTATTGGGATAATTTCCCTGGCCAGAAAGGGTTCCCTGCAAAAAGGCGCAGCTCCTTTAGACTTGCTGATTCTCAGAAGGGAATGAGGGAATGACCCAGAAACAATCCCTTCTGGTTTCCTTTCAGGGAATCGCCTTACAGTTCATCCCAACACCCTGGGTCATTCCCCACGTATGGCACCAGCAAAAGGGTACCCACCCATTTCCCCGGCCAGAATGATTCTTCTCTTCTCACCTCCAGATGTTCCACCAGGTCGGCGATGATCGCATCCATTGCCATGCTGACCCGCACGAACAGCGGCCCGTCCGCATAGCAGTAGGCGCCCAACACCACCTTCTTCTTCCTGAATTGGGTCTCTCGTTTTCTTGATGGTGCGATAGGTAGGGAATGAGGGAATCAAATTATTCTTCCTGAATTGGGTCTCTCGTTTTCTTGGTGGTGCGATAGGTAGGGAATGAGGGAATGAAATTGGGGGGTCCCCTTAAAGGAAACCACCAGGTGGATGATTTGAATCGGGGTCATTCCATTTGTCATTCCCTGGTGAGCACCAGCAAGTTGTTCGACGCGGCGGCTGCCCGAAATATTCTGGAGGAACATGTGAACGCCCTGCAAACTACAAGGCGAATACAGTTGGTTTTGTGGTTCACCGGCCATCTGTAGGGCATCCACTCTACCTGCTGCAAAAGGAAGCCAAGAGAAAACCATAAGTTGGTCGAGGTTCGCCCAATTTGAGGCAAACCCCAACATGCGGGACTGCCAAGAGGAACCCTCCCAACATGGGAGACTCCCCAGATTTTGAAACCACGCACTCCCCCCACGCATGCCCTTCGGGCCAAGAATCCAATGCAAGAGACGCTGCCAACACATAACCATGGAAATACCAAACAAATTCCGAACATCTTAAATACCAACGCAAATACCAAAATACCGTGGTCCCTTCTTTGGGCCAAGACTCCCCTTGAGCACCGTGCGCAGCCAGTTCCGCACCTCCGGAGTCTGCTGCAGGAGGTCGCAGCCAGCGCCCTCCGCAGCCTTGTCGAGGTCAGACACCTGCACCGGGCCTTCGACCCCTCGCTTCCAGGAAGTGGATTGGCCCAAAAAAAAGGCGTCTCAAGCTCCTAACTTCTCTCAAACCCTCCAATATGTTTTTTTTTTTTTCCACTGACTACTTCTCTCTATTCGTCCGACTTTGGTCCCATTGACAAAACGGACGAAGGAGCCTATATGATGACTTCAGAATCTGTGTGTGTGTTTTATTTGAACAGAAACAACCAATTCTTGGGTCAGGTTGAAGGGAGATCAAAAGGGAAACCGCCACTTGGGTCCAGATCCCACATCTCGCAGCTCGCGGGGTCTGGTCCCTGATGACCCACTGGACTCCCCGGAATCAACATTAAGCAAGGGAAAATGTTGGTCAAGGGAATCAAGGGTCAACGTGAGTGGCATTCGACCCGCTGGAACTTGAAATTCCCCCCCACCCCCACCCACCCCCACCCACCCCCACCCACCGCCACCCACCCCCACACTGATCCACCACCCCAGCCCCCACCCCCCACCACTCCCCTCCGCCCCACCCCCCCCCAACAACAAGCGCAAAACCCCGGCCTTGGTCTTCACCGGCGCCGTCAGCTTCCCCCTGGCGCCCTTCGCCTCCTTCAGCAGCCGCGCCCAGATCTGCGGCCGCGGCAGGTCCAGGGCCACCACGTGGGCGCCCAAGGCCATGAGCAGCGGGAAGGGGCCCATGGCGCTGCCTGCCGCCACTCCAGACAACGCGAGACTGTACGCAGAAGCTGGAGCTCTGGTTCTTCCAGTCCCCTTGGAACGAAGTCTAGTGGTGGAGAAGTTGAATAGGGGATAAAATCAAACATAGTCTTTCGCGAATGGAAGCTGTCTACCTGGAGTCGCCACCCCCTTCAAAGTGAGTCATTACCCAAAATAAAGGGGTCACGGCGCAACCGCCCATTTTCGAAGGGTCATGCAGCCCTTAAATAGCAATCATGTGCAGAAGATCATACTAGCAAAGTTGGCTTTATAGTTGGTCTACGTACCCTAATATCTATATCTATAGGTCTATAACATATCTTGAGGAACCCAGCAGGAGCGAAAGTGTTCCCCATAGGAAGGTGACTTGAAACTGGTGGGTGTCCGACCTGTAGGCAAAAACGCGGTCAGTTGAATCGTCTGTAATTCAGCCAGAAACTTGTTGACGAGTCGTTTGTTTGCATAGCCTCCAAGTGTCCTAAAGCCGGTGCTTCTGGAAAACACCCTGTTCTTAACAGAACATGCAGCTACCATTCACAGGGCGCATTTCGTCAATCACAATCAATTCCTGCTGAACAGTGCATTCGCCAAGTGGACCACCTCCGCTAGTGCCTTTGGAAATTCGCTCCAAAGCCTCCCCAAACTCAGCAATTTGGACTTGCTCTCAGTGATTCTGGTTCATAGTCAGCGAGGCTTAAAATGTCAAAGGAGATGGCTGGTGAAAAATCGGCAAAGACTCCCTGGTAAGTGGAAACATGGATTAAAACCTGCGGTCCATATCCTTGTGCCCCATACCCAGATCCCAGTTATGTGTAGGGCCGAATTTCAGGCTCAGGGCAGTCTGAAGCTCCCCTTCGCCTGCCCCGAAGAGCACAAAGGTGTGGTCCGAGAGATCCGTCCAGTCGGGCGTCTCCGCGACTTTGCACAGCGCAGCTGCAGTGTCCAACTCCTTGGATCTTGGGTCAGGCTTCTTGGAGGCAGTCCCTCCAACATCCATTCTTGGTTGGCGTTGGAAGGGGAGCAACAATTAACATTTAGCGGTTAAGCGGGGGTTTCAACCACTAAACCACAATAAGCAAACATGTAAAATGTGTCCCATACTTATCCTCCTCATCATCTCTCAAATCTTGACCAACCCTTAATGGGTGTGCCCTTTTCAGGATATACCCTTTTCAAGGGGGACCCAAGAGAAACGTCCCAACTTGTGAAGATTATCCTAGGATCCTAGGCCTAAATAGTTTCAACCAAACAGTTAACTGTTTGCAGGGTCCAAGTCCCAAAGGACACTGGGTCGCCCTTGAAGGGAACAGAACTGAAGTGATGCTGATAGAAAACTTGAGTGGATGGGCCAAAACAAGTCCAAACTTGTTGCGTGCCACTAACATGGCTTTCCCAAAAAGTTTAAAGTCCAGGAACTCTGGAAATGAGAACAAATGCTGAGGCTGTCTTGTGGCAACATCCAAGAACTTTACATCTTTGCCCTTTCCTTCAGTAGAAGCCGTTTAAATCCTGGGTCACAAGGCAAGGGAATTCCTTTTAGCACTTTGGGTTGGACTACCGGACGGGTTGAAACCTCAATGGGGGCCTTTTGTTCTTAAGCCATGGTTTTGTCTGGTGTTGAACATCTGACCAAGAGATCTGGCCATCACACCGAGCGAAGCAAAAGCCGATTTGGCGCATCCAAACTCGCGCCGGTGAAAAGAAACGCGCCAAAGCCTAGCTCTAGGCACCACTTTGGATGCAGAATCCAACTGATGAACTCCTGCTTCCCAAGCTCAGCTGTTCAAGCTATGGAGCAAACATCGCCACTGGGAAAGTGAACATCAACCTCCACGGCATAGGTTCGTTCTTGTGGGCGTAATTGAATCTGCCAGACACAAACCTGAGAGTAAACATATGTGACTTGGGGACCCCTTTTTGAATGGGCCTGAAAGAAAATGCCAAAACATTAGGTTGCAAATTCTGGGACACACCCATGCAACAGAAGATCCTTTGTTGGGCTTGAACCGCCCACCCCCCTTCCGCTGTGAGGACCGTCCCAGCACATTGTGACTCAAGTTCTGCAGTCTATCGATGCCAGCGGCACATTAATTCCCGGCGAAATGATGTCCACGTTTCAGGTTCCCAAATAACAGTCATACCCCATGGGTATGGCTTGGGTGTGGCTTTCCTTGGGTTTCGCAATCCAAGCCACTAACTGAGGTCGCGATCCAATTTCCCCCTTAACATCACCCCACCAGAAGGACTTCAACTCAATGTTGACCCCTGATTAACAAACCCCCAGCTATTCATCAGGGTCGCGGTTCCCCTGGAAGAACGAATTCCCCGCCAACAAGGGACCCCCTTAATAATACGTGGGGGCGGGTGTATTTGCTCAAGCCCCTGGCAAAAATGAATAACATATGTTCAGTAGTGATAAATGTCCCTTAAAACCAACAAATATATGTATATATTCTTCAGCACAGTAAACAAATCGAGGGGTCAGCATGTTTCATGTCCCATGTTCCTCCGCCATCTAGGACCTGCCAGCCCCACCCGCCGGCGAAGTCCACGCCGTCCAAGGCGCGATGACGCCTCGCTGGAGCCAGAGATGCGCTTGCGCGGTGACCTCCTCTCCCCTCAGCACCTTGCCCTTGTAGGGCACCTGAACACCGCCGCCAGCGCCTTTTCGTTTTCGCTCAAAATGGGGCTCACTTGCCCAAAGGACCTGGATATACAAGGTGAACCTTTTTGAGTTATGACTAAAATTGGACCAACATGGGAAAGCCAAAAGGTCAAAAGGTCGGCTTTGGGCAAGTAAGGGGGTATGGGGTCGAAAACCATCTGCCATTTTTTCCTTGTTTCCAACGCCTATTCCAGGTGAGCTCGCCATAGATGATGCAGAATCAATCCAGGATATGGACCGCAGGTTTTGGTCAACCTGTGTCCGTATAAAATTAGCATGGGTTCACTTTTGGGTACCTATTTTTGACCAGCCAGATGGGGGCCGGGCCCCAAAAAAAGTTTGGGCGGCTGTCCTCGTTTCCCTTGGAAAACCAGGCCCACACTCAGGGTATCTTTCTGTGTTGAGCGCCTCTTGTTAAGCCTGGACTTGGCCAACCACCTCTCTCTGTGGAAGCGAAACAACAACCATGCAAACATCATAAAGGGTTTGTCTCAAAATAGGGATCCGGACCCCACAACAAAAATGGTGGCTTCGCCTGCTGGGCCTTCCCAAACAACCAGCTTCCATGGGGAGCTTCCTGTTTGACGTGGACAGGTTGCTGGGTGACCCAGAAAGAATTGGTCCTTCCGGGCCGCAGGCTTAACAAAAGGTGCTCAACCCAGAAAGGATCCATGTGCAAGCCGGAAAGGATCCTCAACAAGCGAAACCCCAGGCAAACAAGGCCCCCTGGTTTGGTTGCTTGATTTTACAGGCCTCGCTGGTCTGGCCTTTACCCTGCTTGGGCCTGGTTGTCCAAGGGAAACGAGGACCTGACTCGAAGCAAAAAAAGACAGGGCCACACCAACAAACATGCGGCCGATTCCAACGCGTTCGCTCGACGTCGCCGTTCCGCCTCGAGGCCTTCAGCTTTGCCGCCGGTGCCCTGCACCTCGAAGGTCTCGAAGCTGCCGTCCTGTCGAACACGGAGGCAGAGGTGAGAAATCGGAGAAATGACCGGGACATCCCCAGAAATCCACCCGGGGGCAGTGGAGGTGGGAAATCCAGGCGGGAAATCCCAAGAAATCAACTTGAGTGAGCCACCCAGGTTGAACATGAAGAAAGCCAACGAAAACGTCGAAAGAAGAAGGCTACAGTCGCGACCGTAAGCAAAAACAAGACAAACAGTTTGCCAAGGACAGTGAAGCTCCCCTAAAGCGGGAGGAAGCCACAACTCCAAGAAAAAAATGAATAAACATCAACACAACTACCGCCGATCCGCTTTCGTTTGCAACCGCTTTGTTGCAGTGCGTCGCCCGTCTGTTGAACTTGCTGGTGCTAGAAGGAACCGAGGGGACCATATCGGGGTGGCCTTTTTGTTGAGGGTACCATCTTTGGGGTCAGCTTCAAGGGAACCCAAAGGAATATCAACATTCTAACATGGCTCAAAATTAAACAGGAGGGGCAAACCGCGGGTTTTGGTCCATGTTTCCACTTACCAGGGCAACCCATTTTGGAATTCCGTTTTTTTTGAGCCACAGCCACATGCATGGGCAAAGAGGCGTCCCCTGAATTCTCGGTTCGAACGGGCCCTTGCGAGCGCCAGGCCCTCAGGGCCCTTGCCGCAAGCCTTCGGATTCGGTGCGTAAGCTTCAATGCCTCAGCCACACCCGTTCACACGCGCTTATGTGCTTGATGGTTTACACGATTCTTACAATCAGTACAGAGCATAGCACTGTGGAGTGCCTAGGCACCAATTGATGGTACCTACTTACTGTGCATATTAAATTGACGGCGTTGATAAGACAAGCCATCCTTTCGGTGTTCATTTCGAAGACGACCAGAGCCTGGTTGTTGTAGCGACCCGCTTTTTGGGTGCGCTTTCACAGTTGGGTTGGGGTGGGAGGAGATGATCATCTTCGTGCAAGGCATGGGCATCTTTCTGTTTGCAGCCGTCACTCATTTGGAGAGTAGACACCAACGACCTATCCCTGAGGCTTTGCTGCAGGCTCCTCAGGGCCCCATATGCGACCCTCACGGAATAGCAACCGACGAAAGGGCGAGCAAAAAAGCGCGCTGCCTTGAACTTGACTGGGGAAGCGCAACCTGGGAAAAAAACATCAGCTCCGGGGTGATGCCGCCAAAACGGTTGACGGCTTTGCCATCGACTAAGTCCACTTTAGCCTGCGATTTGCGGGTGGTTCTGCCCGCGGACTGCTGAAAGCGCCGCCGGCAAACAGTCCGTACGGTTGTTTTAACAAACTTCTTCCAACCCTGACCCCGAAGCAAGGGGCAACCAATTCATGTTGATACCAGGTCTTTAACATGATCGCCTGAGACCTTCGACCGGTCAGTTTCCCCGTTCCTTGAACTTGTCCATCGCCTGCTTCAAAGGCATCGACTCCTCGCCGCGGCAGAACTCCATGGTGGAGTGCAGGTAGCCGAGGCCATCCTTGGCAATGCCTCGAGGCATCTGGTACTCCCATTCTTTTTTGGAGGCTGCACTAAGAGGGGTTCCACTACCCCCAAACCACTATAAACCCCATGAAACCCTATGAAACCTTCTGAAACCTTATGAAACCACATGAACCCAGAAGTAGAACCGGCCGATACTAAGATTGCCCTTTTGAAAAACCCGTTTTGGACCCTCGCTTGACATGCTCTTCAGTGCTTGGCCGAGCCCTCAGAAAGGTCAGTCTCCTTACCATGGTTGTATCATGTCCGGGAGCGAAGAGAAGGATAAAGCCCAAGTGCCATCTTCCACCTGTCTTCATCATCATCGAAACAACAACTGCCCAAGAAATACAAGGTGACCTTGCCTAAACATGCACCAAAATGGGAAAACCAAAGGTCATTTCAGGTCGATTCGCTTTGGACAACTGAGATAGCAAAAACAGAGTCAGCCCAAGCTGCACCACCGGAGGTCCGGGGTCTCGAAATCCCATGGGAAAAGCACATCGAACAGCCCGAGCTTCGGGGTGAATCCACGGTCAAACTGGATTCCTGGAAGTGGTTGCATTTCCAGGGTGGCTCTTCTGATTTGTCAAGCCAAACTCATCCCAGGGGCTTGTACAACCCTTCAGCGGGTCTTTTTAATTCAGCCGGGTATTCATAGCCTCAGTCCCAAAAAGAACACATCCCACAGAAGGCCGCCGCCATCTTTAAAAAGAGCCCCCCCTGTCCATGACTGTTGGAGTTCGGGGCGTCTCATGCGTTTGTGCGGAGAACTGGTGTGTTTCAGGGTGGCATCGCGCAACCAAAGAACGGGGCTTCAAGCATCCTTAAAAAGATTGATGGGGAAGTAGATCCGGACACCAGGACCTTGGACAAGCCATGTGTTGAGGAATCTCCTTGTGGACTCCCTTTAAAGCTTCCCCTCTAAATGTGTCCGCCAACCCAAACCCTCAATGCCAATGGGATCAGCACTCTTTTTGGGATTGATTTCAGGTGTGCTTCCCTACCCCAACCCCTCCCAAACAAAAACCTCGAAACTTCGTGCCCGCCCCCCCAGCCCCCCCCCCCGCATCCCCACCCCACCCCCTTCCCCCCACCGAGCCGAAGCCCTGCGCCCCGTTTGCGCCCCAGGTGCCCAGCGCTGCTTCGGGCGCTGTGCTCGCCAGCTGGGCCTGACGCACCACGTGCCGCGCGTAGCCGAAGCGCCACTTCCGCTCCGCCTCCACCGCCTCTCGGCGCGCGCGATTGCCAGGCGGTCAGTTTGGAGAAGGCCCCAGTGACATGGTGGATTTACTGAAAACCAAAACCAGAAACAAACTGCAAAACAAAAACACATGGGTGTCGTGTTTTTTGGAGCTGCCCCCCCTTTTTTCACGGGTTTTGGAGAGTTTCACCTTGGATTTAAAGGGAAACAAGGAGGAAATCACACTTTCGAAAGTCCACACATCCCCATGTTTTTAGACCACTCTGTTGTAGCATCCGACACTGAGACGCCACAAAAAAGCAATGTCCGAACTTGCCAAGAGGCCTATTGAGATTCTTAGAAGATTCACAGAGATTCCACAGATGGAATCCAACATCGTGCCTAGGAAGCAGTCCGCAGGTGTCACTCGTGAAGACGAATAGATGTGCTGCGCACAAAAAACACCTCTGGACCCTTCAAACATCACCCCCACCAAGGGACACTAAGCCTTTCATGGGCCGAACGTATGTTCAAAAACCACCAAAAAGGGCAATATAGGGACCCCTGTTCAAACTGGGCTGGATTGGTGGTTTCATATTGTGGAGAAAATCCGTTTCGCACCAGTTGAGATGGATGTGATAAACCACCTACGATCCGATTTTTTCCACCGCATCAACAAGGAATTCCTTGGCCCACCAAGAGACGCTCCTTCCAAATACCCTCGACATGCTCAACCTGGTGGAAGAAGTCTAGTGCTTCATTGGGAAGAACCAGCATGAAATCAATCGGTTGGGCGTGCCACCGAATAATTCGGGGGTCCCAAGAAGAAGTGTGGGTTCCTTTTGGATTCCCTTCAAGACAACCCAAACAAAAACGCAGAGGTAGGCCGCCGTCTGGACAAAGGATCCTCCAAACTTCAAGAGCTGCCACTCTGGCCAGATATGTTTCAAATTTGTGGGAAACAACCTTTTCTGTGATGCCAAAGTTGGATTATCGGATTCCCATCCCCGTGACCACTTTGTCATAAGGGTGATGCTTGTGGGGTATCAAAGAAATTGCCTCAAAGCCGCTCCAGCTTTCTGCAACCATCCCCAAACACTCCATGTTCCTGTTGACTTCACCAGCCACAACAATTTGGGTACCAACTCCGGAAAAAAAAGAAGAAGACAAAAAACACCGCACCACCATGGGTGACCTTTTGAAAAATCGTAGTTCGGTTTCCCTGGTAAATGGTGGACAAAACCCATCTAAACCAGTGGCTTGCCCATCTTCATCGAACCAAACTCAGATCAAAATGGCCTCTTTTAGGAAAACGGATATGTTTCCCCAGTAGCCGGCTGACAAAACCACTCTAAAACCGGTGCCGTCGATTTGGGTCCAACCCAACGGATCAAAAGGTGCCCCTCCGGATCGGCCTCGAAGGCTTCCTTGCTGTGCGCTTTCACCGCGGCCGCAAAGGCGCCTGAAAGACGCACTTGTTGCCGGGGTTCAAGGAGTGGATGGCGGCGAAATCCGTTCGCGCCACTTTCAATCCATGGGAAACCATTGTTGGTATTGGATGAACGAAATCCTGCACCACTTTTGAAACCATGGTTGAAACCATTGTTTGTTGGTATTTGCAGGAGAATCAACATTCCAGGTTTTCTTGGGTGCAGGATTTCGTCCATCCACAGTATGGAAGTCATGTTTTCGAGGGGAGCTGGTTTTGAAGGGAACAACGACAGAACGACCATTTTCTTTTTGGGGGGGGGCGCCAGGGAACCCTTCCGGAGCTGGTTTATGCAAAGGGAACAACAACAAAACGACCCATTTTGTGGGGCACCCCTATTTGGAGAACCATCTTATACCTTCCTCAGAAACACCACTCCGCCAAAAGGACACTCGTTTTTAATTGCAGCAATCATCGTGAAAACCGCGATGAGGACAATGAGAACCCCCAGGAAGCCTGAGGTGTCGAAGCTGAAAGGTTGATGGCCACCAAAAGACCTCGCCACCTCTTGGAAACTGGCTGGCATTTGCCCATGATCATGGTCCGGACAATATATCTATGATATATAGTACATATATACCTATATATTATATATATATGGTACAATATATAATACATATATACCTATATATATATATATATTATATATATATATATATATTATATATATATATACATATGTATATATGGTACCCCCTATCCCGGTATTAGCTTGACTCTAACCCAGACCCTGATGATGTCTACAGCATTGTGCAGCAAAGATGGGTTCAAGGCCTGGTCTTAGCCAGCAGCAATCAGAACTGCGGGATCCATGTTTGGTTAAGAGGACTCAGAAACCCGGGAGTCGTTTCCACGTGAACACATGGAAAGCGCATGGCACAACAATCCGCCTACGAGAAAGGGATTCGTGGCAGCTCTCTCTCACCCTGTTGCTGTCTTTCCCGCTAAAATGGCTGCCGAGGAAAGAAACCAAATAGAAGACCGCCGGGAAAAAAGCGCATCATGGGTGAGGTGGTTGTAAGCAAACACTTTTGGCCAGAAAGGGTCACGGTTCATTTGCTCGGGAAGCTTTCTTTTTTTTCTGAGAGCACAGCCGGTGAAACAAATCGACGTCGTGCGAGCCGTGTGATACACTTTTGGCCCCGGAAAGGGAAGCCACACTCCAAACTATGGTTCCTTGATCAATATTATGTCCAAACAACAGGTTGGAGGGGTCAAACAAATAGAATCCTAGACCAAATCAAACAAACAATCAGACAGCAAGCCTGCTGCATGAACTTCAGGGGACGGAGATGCGATTTTTGTCCATGGGAGCCGATCTCCGATCATTTTGCGTCCCCCCCCCCAAAAAAAAAAGCCGAGCTCCGTCCAATCCCAGAAATCAAAAGCCGCCGATCGGCTCCGACCGCTTGCGCTCGATGCGAAGTGGTTTCGCCTTGGTTGAGGCCGGTGGTGGAGCGCTCGCCCTTGGCGTCCAACGGGAAGTTCAGGCCTGGCGAAAGGCGGTCGAATGGCGCTGACAGCTCGTCGACGGCGCAGCTCGCCACCGGGACGTTGGTACGGTGGAAAAAGGGTCTTGGGGCTGATTCCATGCAGCAAGCACGGGAAAACCGGGGTTGTGGGGTTGATTCCATTTGGGTGTCCCTCAAAATGGGACGACCAGGAGCGCGTTGCAAGGGCCTACAGAAAGGCCCTGGCGGGCGCGCAAGCGAAAACGCCGGGGAGAGTGTCAACCCTTGGGCTTGTTTGGAGAAAGCGCATTGGGATTGCATGTGGGTGGCTTGTCCGTTTTTCTCAAGGATTCGCCGCACGAACTGGCGCAACGGTGTTCGACATGTTTTTGTTCCCCTTCAAAACCACCAACAAGGGGTACCCTTTAGCATCCCTGTCGTCCCTTTCTCCGCGCCTCCGCCACCACCACTTACACATGCAAAGGACCCTTCCACATACGTCTCCCCGGAACATCGGAAACTCTTCGGGTGGATGCAATCACAAAATTCCCAAACGCCGCTTTCTGCCTATTTCGACTGTTTCCACGTTCTGTTTCCTCCAAGTGAGCCCGAAAAATAAGGCCTCGTTGTGATGTTTGCCGTTCTTTTTTTTTGTTATTGCTTTTTTTTTTCTGAGGCTGTGCTCTGTTCTTGGTTGGGGTGGCCCAAATCGTCAGCTCCATACCCTGAAGAAGCAACTTTCGGTTTGAGGGTCCCATGTCGGGGCAAATCGCCTTTGAAGTGCTCCTTTGCTCGAACACCACACACTTCACACCTCGCCCCCACTTTCTGCTGCGCTGCTTTTTTTGAGAATCACGGACCTCTCGAAGGTGCCGGCTTAAAAGCTATGGACTCCAGGGGTTGGCTCGCCACTGAAAGGCAAAGCCGGTCAGCCAAGCTCTGTCCGGATTTGCCCAGAAGACATGCAAAAGTTTTCAGGTTCTGGTTGGTAAGACAAGGGAACAGAAAGGAAACCCAAAGGGGCAAAAGGACCAACGGCTGGCTAAGTGCCTAACAGGCGCCTGGCAGATGGTTACAGTCTCACACTGGGGGCCCTGTCCAGTCACCACATTTTGGAAGACATGTTTGCTGGTGATTGATCCAAATCTTCTATTAGCTCGTGCCAGAATCACGTTTTGGCTTGTGCGAAAATCCACGGTTCAGCTTCCTTCTAGCTGGTTGCTTGGATTGGTGGAGGTCAGGGACGGTTTCCAAATTTCGCCTCAACCACCTGACTGTTAACTGCAGGGCCGTGCTTCAAATGGAATTCACTTCTGTGATACAAAAACAAGGGCTTCCCAAAGACTAACCCTCCCCCGTAAAAGGGGGGAGATTCCAACTTGTATCAAACAAGTGGTTGGCTGGTCCTCCAGTAGAGAGGTTAGAATAAGGGTACCCTCTTTTTCTGTAGTCTATTTTAGTAGGGGAACCCTCCCCCAAAAAAGAAACGCCAAAAGGGCACCTAGCTGGGGGACCTAGTTGGAGTTCCCCCCCGAGTGATCCCACTGCCCCGAGTGAACGAGGGATGTCAAGCCTGTGGCCGCCATGGCCGGAGACCTTTTTTTTTCGCCCAGCTTTGGGCCGTAACAGCTTGCACCGCGGGCGAAAGGAAGGAACCTCCAAACCCCGGGTTGGGGTTAATTTCCGTGGTCTCTTCCCCAAAAAGCTTTCTACCTGCCCCCCTTCTGGTTGAACATTTGCAATAGCCCACGTCTGTGAAAGAGCGCCGGTTTTTTGCGGGTACAGGGGCACCCACTTGTGGGCCAACATCTGCTTCGGACTGAAAGGCCTGAAGCTTGCCCGCGGACAAACCTCTCGGAAGAGGCCCTGCTCGAGTTGCCAAGCCTTCTTCAACCAAGCAACCAAGATACCGACCAACCACAGTGTCTGGAAGGGGGGAGGAGAAGCCACAAAAACAAAACAAGTCAGCCTGTGTGTACATGCCTTAGCTCAGCGAATCGGATCGGATCAGACAGACGGGTTGGCCTTTGGACTGCCAAAAGCAAGTCTGCGGGTCTGCTTGTCATGCTTACCGGCCGAACCCTATCTGGGGTCTATTTTTTAAGGCTACCCTTCATCCAACCAAGCACGCAAAGCAAGCCAGCCAGCCAAGCAACCAAGCCAAGCAAGCAACCAGCCAGCCAAATCCAACCCAGGACCAAACCAGTCCCAACTTGTGGATCTGGACCTAAAGCTAGACGCTCCCAATGAACCCCAAACAAATCCTGACATCAACTCCACACCCAGCCTAAAACACACGTCAAAGTTTACCCCCAAAACCGCGGAAAGAGTTTGCATGTTGAAACCTCGACTAACAGAAGACCAGCCCTAAAACCAGCAGGTGATATTCGCGGTCGATTTGCGCAACGCGCAAGTCAGTTAGCAAAGCACCCCCAATGGCGCTTTCAAACGGTGTTCAAAGGTGCTCTAAGATTGTCACCCCAGCCCCTTCCAGTTGCCAGGGGCCCAAGAACAAGGCGATATCTTTGTTGAAACAGAAAGGTTGAAGCAAGGACTCAGATGCCCAGTGGCCAGGGGAAAAATTGGGCATCCTTTTTTGGTTGGTTGAGTTTAAAGGGAACCCTTCCCAACAAAACGGAAAAAAGGGCACCACCTGGCAACTTGGAGGAGTACCACTACTGGAGAACTGAAGATCTGATCCAGGAGCTGAAAGCTGCTTTTCCTTTTTTTGTTGCCTGCAAACAGGTCCTCTGACACGATCGTTTGTCGCAACCGTGGGGCTCGTGCTTTTTCAGGGTTTCAGTGTGCAACATAGGCTCGGCAGCCCCCCGCCCCCCTCCCCCCCCGCGCCCCAGCCTGCATCCGCCTGCATCCAGCCAATCTCCGGCAAAGGTAGGCATGGCTTCGAAACCATTTATAAGTATGGCTTTTGGAGATATGGGCCTCCTTGATTGTGTACCAGCACCAGTTTGCAAGGCAGACCCAAAAACCCTTTTAAGTCATTATATATTTATGGGTGTGTCCTCTTTTGGGACCCCGCCCCCCAAGTAAAAGAAAACAAAACAGGGGCTTGGGCGTCCATGGGTTTCCCTTCAAAACAGCCCCCAACCAGACCCAGGGTACCCTCAACAAAAAAAGCAAGCCACTCACATAAGCTCCACACCCCCAAAATCCATACTTCAACATTCCCCACATGGCACCCTTGAACGGCACTCGAGCTGTTCACCGTAACGGATGAACCCGCAAAAAGGCAAACGGGCAGAGCTCGGCCAACATCTGGGGCAGCCCTCCGGGTGAAGCTCGAAGTTGGAAGCTGCCAACATGGGGGGGAGGAAGAACCAGGATCTACCAGAAGTAAGTCACCGCAATGTTTTCCGGACACCCCGGAAGTTTTCGCAAGCGACCTCGGCGGCTTTCTCGGATTCGAGAGTGGCTCGCTTGCAACATGTCCAAGGCAACATGATCCGGCGTCTGTGTAAGGGTTGCGGGTTGCACCGTTGCACCCTGCAATCTGTGCGATCCGGTGAAAGGCAACCTTCATTGAGGTCAGGGGGGGGGGGCACATCTCTGATTTGGACGAAGCGCTTGCCGCGGCTGGCCATGTTCGTCGTTCACCGAAATCTTTCTCGACCTGAGGCTGAGCTTTGGACCAGCGAAGTTTGCAGGTGGATGCAAACTGTCAAAAAAAAAACGGCAGACAGCAGGGTCCCAAGAAAATGGCAGGATCCTGAGGGTGCCTTCACAAACCTTTAAGAATGAAAAAGTGGTCCGAAATAGAAGCCTGGCAAATGGAAAAGCAGACTCAAAGCTGCGGTCCCTGGCTCTTAAACTTTGAGCCACGCCCATTTCAGCTCTTGGTTTCGTTGGTTTTCATCAGGCAATTGTCATTGGTTGGTTTGGTTTGGCCACACTTGGCCCAATCCGGGGAGTATGCCAAAACGATCATACTTTCAAGTGAGCATAGTACATCTACCCTAGAATATGACATGGATGGCGGGTGTCTTTTTTGTAAGTTGGTACCCTTTTTTGGGGCTGGATTGAAAAGGGAAACCAAAAGGAACGCCGTTGCACCATGTGTTTGTTTTTCTCACTTCCTCAGTGGATTGGCAAAAAAAAGCTCCCAAATGTTAGCACTAAAATGGTTTCCCCAGAAGTGACTAAAGTCCAGGAACTCAGGAAGTGAGAAAAGGTATATGACAACAAAGATCAAATCCTGCTTTTTCTTTGGTTGGTTGAGCTTAAAGAGAACCCTTCCCCCCCGGGGGAGAAAAAAAAAAAAAAAGCAAAAAAGGGCACCGCTGGGCAACTGGGCTTACAAATGACATACTCCACAGCTTCATCGCTTCGTGTCGGAGGCCCCGCAGCTTCACATCAGCCACCCGAGACCAGTCGCCTTCTGGAAGCCTTCGGCCTTCCTGGGCGCGTCCAAAAAAACCGCCGCGGTGCATGGGGCAGCACATTGTTTTCTCCCCTGGATGGCGGCGTTTTCGGGCCAGCTCCCAAGGAAGGGTCCATGAACACAGAAAGGGAGCTTCCCCAAAAACGCACCAGCAAGCTGCACGGACACCAAAAGGAGAAAAGGTATGATCCACCTGTTCCACGGAAAGGAACTTCTCGAACATGTGAAGTCCAGAAGCCAGCGAGATTGAAAACCCGGCGCCAGCACGTGTTTGATCTGTTTCATGGACCTTGGGGGCTATGGCAACGGGGGCTACAGCTTAAACCCCGTATGTCTTCTCATTTGCTGAGTTGACAAAACTCTTCTCCCAGGTGCATGACTTTGCGAGTCGGGAGGGAGGTGGGGGATCATGCCCCGATTTGTTTTTCCGCACGGTGGTTTGGAGGTGGGGTGGAAACGTGGGTTTCCACCCATTTACCCTCAAGGATCACTTCAAATCCAAATCCAAACAACCCAAGCGCAACCTGAAGAACCTTTTCCGGATCCGGGTCAGACCTGCGCTTGACTTGGGAGTCGGGATGTAAGCCAATCCGAATTTGTCAGGTAGCCCTTGGTGGTTTGGTGAGCCAACGAAGCTGGTGGACAACTCAAGAGCATAGTGGTTTGTTGAACCCTTCATCTAGCGCAATGGGTGTTGGTTTGGTTTTGGTTTGGATTTGGATTAACCCATCTCCTTTCAGCATGGGGGAGGTTTCCCCTTAACCTCCAAACCACCAAACCAAACCACCAAATAGCAGGAAGCCAAGTTTGCTAAAGCTGCCAGTTTCAATAATAATAATAAACAGAAGATATTTGCCTGTACCCTTGTCAACCAAGGAACAAAACATTCGCATAGGGCAATCTCACTCCTTCACCCGTGTGTTGACAGGCTGCGGCTCACAGGGAACCTGGATTCTTCACCATGCGCAATTGTCCCAGTCCCTACAGTATGGCGTTTAGTGGGACACAAATTCAACAAGGAACACTGGCATGCATTGCAAGAACCAGGACTTCCCCTTTGAAGCGAAACACGCCGAACCTCTCTTCTCACTTGCCCGATTGGACCTGGCCAAAAACAACAACCTTTCGGGACCTTGATTCGACATTGGCCAACATGAGAAAACCGCTTGGTCAAAAGGTCGGTTTGTTTTACTGGGTGCGGTTGTCCAAAATCCCGGCCACCAACGCCGGTGGTTCCCGTGCACCTGCGGTCCGATTCCTGGTGGTTCCATTTTGACCCATACCCCGAGTGCTTCACTGCGAGCGGCGCGCTCGCCGGGTTCTGCGCCGGCGGCAAGGGCGGCGGCGGCGCGCTGAATGCTCCTGGCTCACCGGTCTGCTGGGGGGTTTAAAAACTGGGCCCTACCCTCCCACCTAGGTCCTCCAGATTTGAGAGGTTAGAATAGAGGGCGGGTCGGCATGGGGGCTGAGTTTTTCAGATTTCTGGGGGCTGAGTTTTTCAGATTCCTGGGGGCTGAGTTTTTCAGATTCTTGGGGGCTGAGTTGTTCCATTAAAAACACTAAAAATACCAAAAATATAAGATCAAGACCCGTGACCTCTTAGATTTATTCGGGTGCGTTTTTGTTTTTTTGGCTGATGACATGCAAGCACAGATTCATGTTCGATCCAATGAAGACTCAGATGCATCCAGACCTGGAAAATGAGCTAGCTTCAAGCTACACAGAAGACAGCCTGTTGAGAACTATTTTGCACAAATATCATTGTTGGACACAAATATTTAGCAAACATGTGTCTGTAGCTTATTTTTGGATAATTGGCATGCTTACGCATGCCAAGTTTATAAACCTCAGGGTGCTAACTTTTGGAAGACGTATGTTTGGCACAAATCTTCAACACAATTTGCATACGTATGCAATATTTTGAAAGACGTATGCTTAGCAATAGATATCGCTGATCTATGCAGCTTTCAGCTGCAAGACTCAGCTCTTTTTACAGTTGGATGTTCAATATTTCAATATACGCATGGGCTCTGCCCATGCTCTTGAGAAAAGACAGCTAACACAAACATATTTATCGCATAATGAGCTGGAGCAATGAGCACAGCTCCAATCTAGTTGCTTGAGCTCAAGAAGCACAAGATGCAAAGATGAGCACCTGCAACGATATCTGCAGATGCAAATAACATTCTCTGCATAAAGCTGTTCAGCTTTGGAATAAGAGCTTTGGAATAAGA